AACCTTCATGAATCTGGTTTAAATCAAGGTTGACCTGCTTTGCATAAATAATAAATAAATAAATATATATATATAATATATAATAAATAAAAATTACATTAGATACTATATGGAATCTCTAAATATAAGTGAATTGTACACCTGTATGATGATGAAAATCGTTAAGAGGTAATAAATACACAGTTCTAAAAAAAAAATATGTTCTGCACTTTCTTATCACATATATATTGCTCATATCACAAAACTTCCAGCTTTCTAACACAACTATGGAATTATTGTAATTGTAGCGTTATTATGAAATATAAAACAAAAATTAAAAAATTACATTATAACATGATTAACATGATTCTTATATTGTAGTCATAGCTATTATATAGTAGCAATTATATAGTAGCCATAGCGAAAGTCAAGATATTTTATTGTTCTTAGATAAACTTACTTATGAAATATCAAGTATGATCACAGATTTAATCCATAGTTAATGTAATTAATATATATATAAAAGCATAGTAGATTTAATTTAAAAGCAAATTTAAAAGCACGACACATATAAAATATACTACTTACCGAAGAAACTGCTTGGGCAACTATTTGCCCTGGTCTACGAACTTCCTGGCTAGTGGATGCTTGAGCATGTGGAAGTTGTTGCTGAGGTAATTGCTGTGCTCGCTGCTGTGATATAGCACGCCCTCGGCTTTTCCCTCTTCCCTTCTCAGACATCTTGTCCTAAGTACTGAAATATTTGATTTTATATATGTATACATATGTAAATATATGTAAATATATATAACACAGCAGATAATATAGATATAAGAAGTTGGTATAGACAAAAAAAGGATACTGACTAGGAAATGCTGGAAAGAACCAAAAAGAACAAAAGAGGAATAGAAAATTTTTTAGGAAAAGCTAAGTCAGGAAATAAGAAAAATTGTATATGAAGATAGCAAATAAACGGAATTATTAAGAATTATTAGGAATGTAAATATAAGTGTATGTATACATATATAAATACAATCTTGTTATAGAAGAGAGAAAACAAAGACCGAAGAGAGGAAAGTGAAATAACAAATTTCAATTATTTCATTTATTTGAAATAACAAATTTCAATTATTTCATTTTAACATTCTCATATATACAGAATAACAACTGATAAAAGGAAAATAATATGTGAAAACTGTACAATTTCATTAAAGTTTTTTGAAAATTAAGGTAACCTTAAGAAAAGAACAAAGAACATGAGAAAAGTATCAATGGATTACAAATTTGTCACCTTTGACTACTTTGGGAAATATATTCTTGTACCTCCAAATCTAAAAGATTTTATCTGAATTTAATTCAATGTTTCATTTAATTCAAATATATTTAATGTTTATAGCAGACATACTGTTATATCCTAAGTGACGTATAAACAGATTCGAAAAGTTTCTTCCGAAATATATTATTTGTTATCCGAGTAACATCTTAACATACTATAATAAAAAAAAAAAAAATAACGTTGTTACTGAAAAAAAAAAGTAATTTGTAACAGTGTTCTTTCCTAACTCTGTATATGAAATGAAAACTTTTTATAAAAGAGCGTTTTTGTAAATCTCTGAGCGTTTTTGTAAATCTCTGTAAATAACTGAATAAATGTGTTTCTTTTCAGAAAATTTGACTTTAGAATAATGGCGGACAAAGGTCACAAAAGAAATCAATAAAGGATGTGAATCTCTTATCACGAAACTTCTAAAAATTATCGACGAACATACCGTCTAAAATGCAACACAATTGTAACACGAGGCATGGTAATCGAATTACAGCACGCCAATAACTTTATTGGAAGAAAAATGAAGAAAAAATTACACATAGAAAATACATCGAATTTGACCACCGATCAAAAAAGTTGCTCGCACGATCGGAATGAATCGCTGGTTCGTCAGCGTGGATCTCCTGACGCGAGCTTCTCTTTGCGAACTTTCGATGAATCATGAATTCGAAAAAAACGTTAATTCTGACATCTTAAAAATGATCGCAATTTCGCAAAATTATTCGAATACAATACCGAACAATATACTCCAACAATAAGTGCTCGGTGCTCTGCGTTAAGTTATTAATCCCTGATAGTCGATCACTGTACCTTCGAATGTTTTTCTTCTACGCCTGAATTTGATTATTTCAACTGAACTCCAAAAGTTACTAAATCGCGTTTATAAGGTACGCATGAATATTTGACGTTACTCAGATACCTTAAATACGTTTTGAAAATCCCCTCAAACAAAAATCGCCAGTCTTCTTCCATCCACGGTGCCCCCTCCGACTATACTCAGGTACAAACTGATCCGACCGAGTTGTCGCACAATAAGTTGTCACGCGCGGCGCGATGTAATTTCGCGCTGATTGGTAGGAAAACCAGCGCACAAGTCGCGCACCAATGCGAAGCGGCACCGTGCACAAGCGCAATCATCCGGATGCGCGGGCTTTTACGCATAAACCGCGATCGGCCGTCAAGATTTCCACGAAATAACAAGCGTGTCGTATTCACGGCGATAAATAGATACTTCTTGAGTGCAGCGCGCATAAATAAACCGACCAGAGGAGCGACACGACGAGATAATTCGACGAAGAACGGTATTTCAAGCGACCAATAAGAGCACGATGACGTTAAAATCACAACAGGTTTCGTTAAGCCCGTATTAGACTGTGAATTGGGGATTGAGATTGAATTGAATTTGGCCAGTCAGTGCGAAGTTAATTGAATTCAAACCCAGTGATTGGGCGGACGTTTGGCTCTCGTCCGCCGATTGGCTGCGACTCTACCGTGAAACCGTACCTTCGCAAACGCGAGCGCTCGTAGCGCGTGAGTGTCCAAATCGAACGCGCCTCTCTCAGTAGAAAAGAGTTCACCAATGAGCGGCGGGGAGACGCGCACATAACCTCAGCGTGCATCGCGCGAATCGGGTGAGTTGCAGAAACGCCAACGAGAAGTGATGAGAGGCTGAAACCACCGCGGAAACGATAGAGAGAGAACCTCCGGGCGTCATCAAGGATCAACCCGCCGATCGTCCGAGGAGAAGAGCGAGAGGCTCGCGACGGAGGAGAAGAAATGGGCGTGCCGAGCGGCAGGAACGTCGAGGCGATGGAGGTGGAGATCGCGAGCGCGTCGGACGCACAGAGCGGCGACGGTGACGGCGCGGGCGAGCGCAAGGACACCGACATGCAGACGATCCACGACATACGCGAGCATACTCGGCAGATCGAAAAGGCGGTGCAGAACAAGGAGCCGCGGTTCGTGCTGCGCGCCCTGCGCGCCCTGCCCAACACCCGCCGCCGGTTGAACCCGCTGGTGCTGCGCGGCCTCGTGACCGGTTTCTACACCAGGTCGACCGCCGAGCGCGACACCCTGCTCGCCTGGGTGGACGAGCCGATGGAGGTCGACGAGACGCAGTCCGCCACGCAGAGATTCCGACCGTTCTCCTCCAGCCTGCTGCCGGAGATCGACGCGTACGTCCACCTGCTGGTGCTGATCCGGCTGATCGACACCAGGAAGTACACCGAGGCGGTCCAGTGCTCGGAATCGTTGGTACAGAAGATCGCCGCGCAGAACCGCCGTACGATCGACCTGATCGCCGCCAAGTGCTACTTCTACCACTCGCGCGCCTACGAGCTGACCAATCAGCTGGACAAGATCCGCGGCTTCCTGCACCTGCGTCTGCGCACCGCCACCCTGCGCAACGACTTCGAGGGCCAGGCGGTGCTGATCAACTGTCTGCTGCGCAACTACCTGCATTACAATCTCTACGACCAGGCGGACAAGCTGGTGCTGAAGTCGACTTTCCCGGAGTCGGCGAGCAACAACGAGTGGGCGCGTTTCCTCTACTATCTCGGCAGGATAAAGGCCGCCCGGCTGGAGTACTCGGCTGCTCACAAGTACCTGGTGCAGGCGATGAGGAAAGCGCCGCAGACGACGGCGGTCGGCTTCCGGCAGACCGTGCAGAAGCTGGCGGTCGCGGTGGAGCTGCTGCTCGGCGACATCCCGGAACGGCAGATCTTCCGGCAGGCCGCTCTGCGCCGCGCCCTCGCCCCGTACTTCCAGCTCACCCAGGCGGTCCGTCTCGGCAATCTGCAGCGGTTCGGCGAGGTGCTGGAGAACTTCGGGCCGCAGTTCCGCTCGGACCACACGTTCACCCTGATCCTGCGGCTGCGGCACAACGTCATCAAGACGGCGATCCGCTCGATCGGCCTCTCGTACTCGCGCATCTCGCCGGCCGACATCGCCTGCAAGCTCGGCCTCGACTCGAGAGTCGACGCGGAGTTCATAGTGGCGAAGGCGATACGAGACGGCGTGATCGAGGCGACCCTCGACCCGGAGAACGGCTACATGCGCAGCAAGGAGACCACGGACATCTACTGTACGAAGGAGCCGCTGCTAGCGTTCCATCAGCGCATCACTTTTTGCCTGGACCTGCACAATCAGAGCGTCAAGGCGATGCGATACCCGCCGAAATCGTACGGCAAGGACCTCGAGTCCGCGGAGGAGCGTCGGGAGAGGGAGCAGCAGGACCTCGAGCTGGCGAAAGAGATGGCCGAGGAGGACGACGACGGTTTCCCCTGAAGAGATCCACGAGGACGACTGTCGTGGAGATGTATCGGGGCGCTCGGCCCGGAGCTGCCCCGAAGATGCGATCGCTAACGTGTGTTACTTTTTCTAACGTTCAACGGATTTGTAGATATGTCTTGTAGAGCGTGAGGAGGGTCGTCGTAATTAACGGGATTTCATTGTTCGCGCGGAACGCTATCTCACTCCTATGTAATAAAAAAAAAGATGATGAAGAATTATTATTAATTACATATGTATATTCTACATCGTCGAGTCTGATTCTTCCTCTAAGATTCCTCTATCTCTCTCACAACACCGTTCAGATATGGAACTCGCGCGAGTTCCTTGCGAGCCTGAGCCATCTGATACAGAACGGGGCAGTCCAAGGAGACGCACTCCACGTCACCCGATCGTCCGGTGCACGAGCGACAGATCTACGAAAAGATACGTTCAGTCGATCGCAGGATAATCGTTGTCGCTGCTTCGCGATTTACAGCTCAAGGATGCTTATTAACGCATCGCCAACTGATTCGGTGGATTTATTTTTTCCTCGACGATCCTTCGATCGGCTGACCGATCGGTCGAGGATTTGGATGGTTTCGAAGGGAAACTATTATGTTTACTTGTAGATTTTGCATGTCTTCCGACGAGGGACGATGTGTTTTCCCACAACGTCATGACACAAGTTGACAGTTGCAGAGTCAGACATTTGTGTTAGTATCACGGCTGGGGCAACTTTTCAGTCATTTTTACGGTACAATTTTCATACCTGCGGCATTAAATATACCCCCGAAGAATTGTTCCTCTCTTCGTGGTGATTCTCAACTCACTCACGTTGATAAGAGTATCTCCAAAAGTGGCGCAGAAATCACCCAGATTGGCTGAGAAGCTGCATTTAAGGTATTTAAATCGTGACCCGAATCGATGAAAATTCAGGTCAAAATTTTATATTCACCGCGTACCGCTACGCACCGCGTACGGAATGGTGTATTTTTTCTCGCGGTTGGCGATGCGTTAGTATTCCTGTCTGGGCTTACATCGGCGATCTGTCGATGAGTTCTCTCCAGCCGGCATATCTTCTCGAGAAGCACCAGCACAGTCCGGCCTGGCTGCGAGGCGCACTCCGCGCACACTCCTTTGCTCGTCTGTCCTCCGCAAGTGACGCACGCGACGGACTGGAAGAACTGACGAATGCTGGATTTCGGACAGTCCCCTCCCAGGTGGGCGATGTCGTCGAAACGTTGCCGGTGAGACATTTCCTTGTACCTGCGCAAAGCATCACGGTCACCGTGTAAATCGACTCACCTCGATCGAGGAGATCACACAGGGGGGGGGGGAATTTCACGGTGAAAAATGATAATTCTATCATCGCGCGAAACTTTACTAACCGAGAGAAACACAAATCGACGTTCTGCTTCGGTTTATTATACTTCCGTTTTGTACCTTCCTTTTCATATGTGATCATTTTTTCCCGGATCATACATCAGGAACTTGAAATCTGTTGTTACGAAAAGTTTGTGTTTTTTGGCAAGATCAATCCTACCGACGGTCTTTTCCTACGCTACTAGAAAATATGACGGCCCGTGTGCCGAACTCTCTTTTATCGATGAAAGTGTCTCCAAGGTCGGCTCGCACTAATTCCGATTAATTTAACCGACTGATCAACTCAACGGAATTGGCCGCTCGCACTGATCCGGTTTAGCTGATTGGCAAATGCGATCGGTCAATTCCGTTGAGTCAATCGGATTTGGTGCAAGTCACCCTCAAAGTGAATGAAAAGCTACCTGGAAAAACCCACGATAAAATCGACGGTATCTAAAAACACGATAAAACTGACAAGAATCTCATCTGTCGTGTGTGGAAAAAAATCTCAGTTTCTGCAACGAGATGGAAATTAAAAATCGGCGAACGGGAAACTTGGTGAGATGGGAAATGATTTATTTCCATTATCACGACCGAGCACTTTTCCGTGCACATTCGGCTGCGTTAAAACTCGGCGGGAGCAACCGAGAGCAGCTGACTTCGGGCGGAAGCCTCGTGCAGAAATCTTATTCCTACAACCTGAGCTTTCGTCCGACTTCCGGGCGACGGGAAACTCAGTTGCACCAAGCGGAATTGTTCTTTGCGCGTCACGGAAATATCACGAGATGCGCAGGACGCGGGATGTTTCCTGATCCTCGGGAGTGTGCGATATGCTCACCAGGTGTTGACGTCGACTCCGAATAAGTTGAAGCAACGATTGAGGGGCGGCATGATGACCTTTGTGATGTAGTACACGGAGTTGGGCATCAACGCCGGGTCGGCGAGCACTTCCGTCGGCGAGCGTACGCACTGAATGAGCGCCTGATTCGGCGCGCCGGCGACGATGACGTAGCGCACCCGTTCGCTGGTGCGCGGCACAGCGCGCGGATCCTTCCTGGTCAGCCTGCGCGTCAGCTCCAACGCTGGCACGCAAGCGTTCGCCTTGTAGCCGTGCATCCCGCGGAACTCCCTGGCGAACGTCAGATCCTGGATGGACACGCGTTGCCGCAGGATCTTGTCGAACTGCTTGGTAATGTGCGACTTCACCAGGGAGATGTCCTTTGTGTCGAATAGGATCTTCAAGGACTTTTCCAGTATCTGCGATATAGGAAAGGTTTCATGCTCGACTTCACCAATGTCGATTAACGGCTCGCGAGACGAACGACGGGGGCAAAAATTTACGTGAAATTTAGGGAGGTGTAAAAAGTTGTGAATTAACACGAGTATGAATTCTTTGTTGTGCATGTTAATTAAGTACGTTTCACGATATCTCAGTGTAAAAAATGAGATAACCCTAGTCAATAAAAAAAAATTATATTAATAATGATTTTAGATCACTCCTGTTGAGGCCAGGATGATTATCGTTGATGAATGCAGGACGGAATTGAAATGGACACAATAATGTTAATTATTCGCCACAAAATATAATTTTTTTTATATCAAGTTAAATTGTTGTACTCAACAGATGTACATAACGAAAAAATTCATACTTCTATCATTACAACTCCTCCGAATTTTACCTAATTTTTACACCTCTCAGGATCTTGTAAAACTTGAGTTGAGGACATTCGCCAAATTCTGATTAAGCTAATCGATGAATAATAATAAGAATTGCCAATATCAATTTTCAGTTGTGTAGCTTTATCGTTCAACAATAATCGAAAAGTTAATAATTTTTACCCGTATTAAAGTGACTTCCACCAAACTCTGATAGCCTAATCAGAGTTTGGTGAAAGTCACTTTAATATGCTCGTTCCTGCCATCATGATTTAAATATAATCAACGGATTAACTCAACAGGGTTAACTAACAGCGTCGGTCAATTAGCTGGACTGATCAATGCGATTGGTCAATTCTGTTCCGAGTTAATCCGTTGGTTACGTTTAAACTATGATGGTAGAAACTGGCATAAGTCTTTGCCTGAAGAGTTTAGACTCAGATTAAAATTCAATCGACATTCATAAGATCGTGGGGCATCAGCGACCCTGACGATGTCGCAGGGACGATTCTCTCGGTGTGCTCGCTGTCCATCTTTTACCTTAGCGACCGCGGGACACCCGTCTCTGCGAACCGTCTCGATTCCCTTCTCCAGGAACTCGGGTTTCTCCTGATCACGCGTCTCGTACATGTATCCGCAATATCGTTTCTTCGTCTGGAACAATATAAATTCAGATTGCACCACTGTCGCGCGGTGAACCCGCAATTTAATCGCTGGATACTCCTCGAGTTCGTACCTGGAGAATGGACGGCTGAAGAACCTTCTCGAATTTAAGCTTGACGGGCGGGGGATTGGCCGCGGTGACAGCGTCCGCGATCTCCTCGCCGATGACGAAGGCCTCGTCTCTAGACTTGCCGGGCACCAGCACGAATATGGAGTCCGTATCGCCGTACACCACCCGAGCGCCCCATTTCGGAGTGGATTCCACCAGTTTAATCGCACGCTCCAATGTCTCCCGTCCTTTGCTGACTACGCTATCTCCTATCTGCAACAGAACATCGCAGTCTTCAGCGAAGGATATAAAATTGTCTTCGTCTCCAAATCATGTTTATCTTGAGAAGAATCTTCAGTGAATTTCTATCCAATTAAATTTGCACGTGTATTATTATTTTATTATACTCTGCTCGATACGAAAGAACGGAACGAGCCACATGATGAACTACGAAGTGTCGTACCTCGATACAAGGCATCCTACCGCTGAAATTCGCGGACGTATAGCCGTAGGTGACGTTCGCGATTAACTTGAGACCGAGCTGCTGCGAATGTAGAGCGCGCTGCAACGTGCGATTTTCTGCCGGGTGGAGCTTCATAGATTCCTTCACCATTAGACGCGTGTTCAGGATTTCCATCAACATACGCGGCATTATTCCCTGACGCACTTCCTTCTTCACGAAGGCCACGCCGCAGGGTGAGAAATTCATCTTGTCCTGCAGCTTCAACGCCGTGCTCTTCTTCACCCTCAATGTCCCCGCACCGAAGTCGAACGGCCCGTATCTAACGACCGAAAGTATGTTGAATTAATTCATTGTATAATTACAATAATTATATAATTAATAATACAACTATATAAATATATCGTTATAAATATTATGCGTAAATACGCGTATGTATATATATATATATATATATATATATATATATATAATATTATATACATTATATAATAAATTATAAAATAAATTAATTGTTAAATTATAAAATCATACAATTAAATTATATATAAAATATAATTAATTGCAAATCTACTAAATTGTTTGTACGACCAATAAAGAGCTATACTATAACGAGACAAAAAATATATGTATCTCAAATTACAATTATAATTACAATTATATACTGTATTTTCAATATTTAAATGATCTGTTGGGCTTTTGCGCAATTAATGAAAATCAGCCCGGCAATCAACGTGTTAATAAACAAGTTCGATCTGCCCGTATTTGATATCTTGCCGATCATGATAAAACTCTTGACACACTCACTGGCCTATATGTTCGATTCTGCCTAGACACGTGGAGAAGCAGTAATTGTAAGCGATGATCATGCTCGGATACAAGCTCTGAAAGTCAAGCACGATCAACGGCTCAACGTAAAACTTGGACTCGGGCTCCATGATCAACGGCACGCATTCCGGCGCTCGCATCCTGGCTCTTTGATGCATGGACGGTGAGACCGGTATGTAATTCATAGGCTTCGCTAATCTGAGCATCATAGATTCCACGCGGAACTGCGAGCCGCGCGAGAAGACCTCGTAGAACTGTATGCCGAAGAGCCGGGCGTGTTCGCACGTGCGACCTGCGGTACCGAGAAGAGCGGTGGGCTTTCGAGTAAAACGAACTGGCTGAAGCGACTTAAGGTAAACGCTCAAGGTAAATCGAGCGTTGAGATAACGCTAAGTCGCATTGCCACGTGCGAGATATCCCACCTATGATATCCAAGTGACTCAGGATCTTGAGAGTGCCCCGAACTCTGATAACGTAGTGACTTATAACTCTGCACCTCATTATTACGCTCTCATGTTTCCACCAAGTGGACAGCGTTCTGAAGGAAGGGCATGGGATCCTCTCGTGTAAAACGTGATGCACGACATTCTCGAAGGTGTACGTCAGCAGGGCTGCAAGTATAATGAAAATCCTTCGACTTGAGAGTTCCTTGGAAGATTTCAACGTCGGAGTTCGATCCGCAGCGTCCCACAATTGGATTTCGTTCGGTCTCCGAACGGGATTGGTCTCAGAATGCTCTTCTCAAAATCAATTCACTTCGTTTTCTAACGGGACAGTTGCTCGTCGAGCAATAAGACACATCGCACTCTCATCATGACGAAACTCAACCCGGTTGAACGAGAACTTTTACAATGATCGCTATGTTTTCGCATATATATCAGGTGTACAAATTAATTCGGTGTGTATTTGTCTTTCGGTGAATAAACTTTGAATTTCGTAATGAAAAAAGAGGCACCGAATTAATTTGTACACCTGACCCCCAATCCGCCTCCCAAACCGAGAATGAATCCACCACGAACAACCTTCGTACCTGCCTCGTGTCTCATGATTCTCCAAACATCCAGAATAATGCGACCGGGTACTTTGATCTCGTCCTTCTCAAGCGTGTGCGATGCGTCGGGCTTGCCGGAGGGTATCTGTACATAAGGCACCTTCGAGATCTTCCATGGAAAGCCGTAGAGAGCCAGGTGAAATGCTCTCTGGAAAACGTAGCCCCACGAGAGCGCTTCCACCTCCCAGCCAACCAGAATGTCCGGGTTGTACTGCTCCATCAGTTTCACGAGATTATCGAACGCATCCTGCTCCGTCGCAACGTACGATATAGAGCACATCGCGCTCGCGGAGTGGATTCTGTTGAGTCTCGCGCTCACAGGATGGGGATTTACAATTACAGCGGCTGAAACGAAGGGATACATCGTGAAAGAAGTGACGTTAGTTCGTCGAGAATAAGGATGGCGGGTCAATTAGCAGAGTAAAAGATTTATTTGCTTTCTTTTTTCAAATCGTTAGTTCCGATAATTACCGTGTTCTATCAGCGCGCTCGCGTCCGTCGGAATGTCGTTGTGAATCGCATAAAATAACGCAGCGATGGAATCGTACTGCGGGTTAGGAAGGAGGTCCTCCCGGGTGACGACGTGCACCTCGAGAGACATCAACGTCAGGTACTGGTGCTGCGAAAGATGTGAATAAATCATAAGCTCGTTGCCGGATTTACATAATTAATAATAATAAATTTAAATATTTAACAATAAATTCACTCAAATATTATTGCTCTGAAAAGAAACNCGAACCAGAGTTACAGGACATTAAATGCAAAGGCACCGAATTAATTTGTACGCCGTAATGCGCGATAAACAATGAATACGGAAGAAAGAAATCAAACTCACGGCCGCCACCGCTCGAGCATTCTGGAGATTCTCAGCCGAGACGTTGCCGTAGCTCCTTCCGGACGAATGTTCGATCTGACCGTACGAGAAACGTTGCTCGGTCTCGTTCGGTTTGTACAGCAACGGGTTCTCCAGGGCCTTCCGCAGAGAGGGATTCATCAAGGCGCTCCCGGAGTCCTGGGAATTGTTGGAGCTTTGCGTGAACTCGAACCTCCTGCTGTCATCGGACGTCCCGCTGAGTAACGAAACGGATCTCTCTACGGCCGAGGTGTCGCTCATCGACGGCAGTTCCCTCGAAGTTCCCGGCCGGGACTCGTCGTTCGTGACCGTCACGTTCGGCGGCGCATCTCCCGCTTTTCCCTCCTGCGCCCTTCGTCCGCACGATTTCGCGGCGTCGGCTTTTTTCGACAGGTACTCCTTAGCCTTCACCCAGTTCCCGACATCTCTGACAGACGGTGGCGCGGCGAGCGGTCTGATCGTCAGCAAACCGTATCCCGCGAGGGTCTGTTTCAAGCGGGACGTTTTGATGCTCGCGCCGGACGGGTGGAATTCGTTCACCTTCATTCGCCGCCACCGTCCGATGCCGGTGACGTCTTCCAGGCTGGACTTGAACGCCGGCACGTCGAAGCTCGACGTGCTCGCGGACTCCCTGTGCCGCGCGAGGTCGACCTTGTCGCCGAAGAACGGCCGCTCCGCCCTGCACCTCGGGATGCCGTACGACTCCATACTTTCCGCGATCCTCCCGGGATCCGGAGGTCTGTGCTTCGTGGTGATCGTGATCAACGCGCGACGATCGCTCGACGATCGAGCGCTTCTTCGTGACGATGACGGGGTCTGGCTCCGCGTCTTCTGGCTGACGTGTTGGGTAAACGTCGTGTCGCACGCGTCCTCGTCCTCGTCGGTTTCGGGAATAACGTCGTTAACGAGATGCCTCCCGAATCGCTTTCTCGCGTTGCTTATACCTGACGCGTCGCCCCTTTCGGGAGACGTCGTGTCGTTACTGATCTGCGTATGCTGACTGCTCACGAGGGTGTCTTCATCGTTGCCGGACGAAAATATAGTCGCGTCCGCTTCGTCGACCAAGCGGCCGAGTGCGATCGAACTTCTAGGCTGACCCTCAGACCCTGTGACAGTGTTTTCCACCTCGTCGTTGCTCGAGAAGTATAATCTTTTACGAACCAACGTGCTTCCCGGAATCAATGGATCTCCGCCGCCTCTTGCTCTCCGGTCCTCGCGATCCCCCTCCGGTTCCCGAGTTTTCCTTCCGCTAGCTTGTGTATTTGCATCATCAGCAGCCCGGCTATAAATATAATGAACGTTACTTCTGAGATTCAAATAATTAATTATGTTGGAGTACCTAAGAATATCGTGTGAGAGAATTAAGAAACTTACACAGTATCTGTCATGTTAATCACTGGATCCTCGCGAACATTATCAGTGCTGACGTTATTTTCTGAAAGAAAAAAACAGAGGAATTGTATTCCGTGTAAATGGTGGTAAAGAAGTGTCACGTGTTGTTATTAATGAAAATTAAATAAAATCGTTAAGTGCCCACTTGCAAATAGATTTTTCGCAAACGAATTCTTCGTAAACGAATTTACTGTAAAATATAATAAATTACCCGAATTTTCCGAGTTTGGAAGACCTGTGCGCTTTTCACGGAGCAAGCTCAAACGCAACAGTTGCGTATTGCGCTTCGGCGTCTTAGAAGTGGAAGGAACATCCGACGTCGGCATACACTGCCTCCTCTTAGGAGATTCACACTGTTCGACGGGACTTCTACCGGTTCTCGGGGACGTGATGGTAATGTCGAGGGGCGAGTAATTCCGTGATGGGCTTCGATGAGCCTTGCTCGGAGAATTGTAGAACGCTCTTCTTCCGGGTGTCTTCGCGTCCGTGTTTCTCCGTTTATCGGGTGACTCGGAATCGTCATCGTCGTCCCGTTTCCTCTTCCCCGGCGTATTCTTTCTGCCGGACTTAAAAACGCATACACGCTCTTCCCGTCTGTCAACAGTGACGTCAACTTCGTCCTCGGAATCGCTGGGATCGCTCGCAGTAGCTCCATCGACGCTCGGTAACGTAAATTTCTCGCAGGAGTCGTGTTTCGTACCTGTGGACGAATGTGGAATCGCAGTGCGGCATGTTGCATCATCCGGGCGACTTATAATTTCCTCCTCGTGATCTGACGCGCTTCCACACAGATCGTCAACCCCGTCCAATTGTGGGAGATCGGTAAGTGCGATGTCCTCGGAACTTACGTCCGGAGATGCACGATTGTTCACGTCATGCTCAGCTTTTGCCGCGTTATCGCACTGATCGGACCTTTTGTGCGCCAATTCCCAAGAACCTACACTGCCTAAGTCCAAACTCGTGATATTCAGGTCCTCGGCCTCTTCTTCTTCCTCCTCCTGATCATTTTTAGCCGGCTCGCTGAGCATAGAATACTGAGAACCGAGGACACTATCGTTGTCCACATCATTCGCAATTTCATTCTCCCCCGCTAAATCAGCCAACATTTCCACCAATTGCAAGTCATCCGCGTCCACTGTACACGAATCGTTATATATATATACATAGAAAGAGCAACAAGTATATTATACTACGTGCTCAAAACATTAGCTATAACACACACATATATGAAAACTCACAAAAGCTGTCTGTTACAGAATTTTGACTCCGATTCGCTTCTAAATATGAATTTGATCGCAACAATTGATTGTCATCAGAGACTGTTCTTTCGATGTTCTCTTCGGATATAGGAAGTTCATGACTCAAAACGTGAGAGGCATTCAAGACAGGTTCGTCGTCTTCCACTTCAATAGGATACGAAGACACGTTTGTATCTGATGAAATAGTCTCATCACTCTGAAGCAAATAAACAAGTATGTACATTACGTTACTGCGCATGCAGAAATTACGTACGTTAACTGTACAATTATAATCTGATGAAGCGAGAAAATACTTGTGATATAGCGATCAATCGTTTTAACAATCGGCCCTCTTGATAGATATCATTGCTGGTTGGAGGAAGAATAATCTTACTGGGTGTCTTAGGATATAACAATTGTGATTTTGCATTTTCCAAACCAACTGCCGCCCTTCTTGCTCTCTCCTCCTCCCAGATACCAGCGAGGCCAGGATTCAGCTCCATCTTGTCGGTGATACTCCGTCTATTCAGGATGTCCGAAGCATGTGTATCTACTTCCAATTCGCACATGCTCTGTCTTGCGACAGATATTGGCAGGTAAATCTGCGAGTCTAACATATCCGTCAAACTCTTGCTTTGACTCTCTGCTGTTGTGCATCTTTGCAAGGAATGTCTGTATTTTATATTGTTTAAATTGATCAAGTTCATACCATAGAGGTTGTAATCTATCATAAACTGGAGAATATAGGGAATATGTGCCTCATATGGTTGAAAATGTTGATTGAGGATGATATCATTCTGAAAAAAATGCCACTTTGTTAATATATTCTAAGAGAGTTTTATATAAAGTTATATTCTATTTGGAAAAACTAGAGAAACAGTTACTTGCCTGCAACAAATCTGCTGTTCTTTTAATTATAGCAGGATTATAAAGATATATCTTAAAGAACAAGTGTTTCTTATTGTGATATCCATAAAAAGGTCTGAAAATGATAAATTGCACATTTAATGAATGAGGAAAATATATATTCTAATAAATATATCTTCTTTCAAGAAACAAAAATAATTAACCTGTAAATTCTTAACTTTTTATTTAAAAAACCTACATTCCAGACACTCGTTGAATTTTATAGACATGTTGATTGGTAGATAGCGTACAACCGAAAGACGTATTCAAGGCAGAATCAATCGACGCGGCCAGTCGATACGCAAAACTATCCGTATTCTCCTGAACCGTGCATGGTACGTACAGGTATGGAAATACACCGTGAACATGCAAACACGTTTTTTTACCTAAAAAAATTAGCGTTTATCCAGTGCGACATTTAATTCGCAAAGAAAAGAAAACGACACAACATTTTACGAGGTATTTACCGGTAGCGGTAGACCCGAATATCCTGATTACCGGCACCTTTTTTACTTCCGATCCACGAAATTCCGAGAATGTCACGTCGAGCTCGGGTATCGGAGACGCTTGGTAACTATCAATGTTTATCAGAGTAATAGAAAACATGCTATTAAACAATATTCATAATAAACTGGAGAATAAAACGTTAACCATCATTAACGTTCATACTGCTGACGAGTAAATATCAACTGATCCGCAGTGTCGTTAGACACACAGACACACGCCATATGAAATTACCGCGGCTGAAAACTACCAGCGCCATCTAAAACTATAGCCATGCATGAAAGGTTTGTTCTTTATGGCTAAATTGCACAAGAACTAAATTAGAAGCAATCCTATTCGTTTTAGCTGCACTGCTGAACTGGTGCATAAGATAGCGTCCACAAGTTTGCCCACAATTAATTATTCTCTTCACATTTGACTGTGATTGGTCAATTTCTTAAGGATTAAGGCTTAAAATACCTATTGTGGGCCGACATTTAGGTAAAACAAGAGCATTAAAGCCCGTATCATACTAGGATTGGGGATTGTGATTGAATTGAAATTTGACCAATCAGTGCAAAGTTCATTAAATTTGAGTTCAGTTAACTTTGCATTGATTACCCAAATTCAATGTTAATCTCAAACTATCTTGCTGAAGTCTTAAAACATATTGACGATTTAAAAGATATTGTATGTAGGTAGCTATTTATATTTCTGGCCTTGGTAGCAGTAAGTGTTGCCAGACGCCATCTGACGTTGTCATTGGAAACTTGACATTGTTGAACATAAGAACACATTGTCATTTGAGCGCGGTTTGTGTTGTTTACAGTGAATTGAAAAATTGGTTCGATCGTAAATATTTGTTTTTTCATTATTAGGCCAGAAATATAAGTAGCAACCCTCGTATATATATATAAACAATTAAAGCTTTATTTGGAAAAAGGTATTGATGTTGCTCTATATGGCGGGAAGTGGACTGGTACAATACTGAACGGCATCAATGCTCGGCCTGGCAGCCCTCTAAGCTGAGAGCTCGCGCCAGATTCCGCGCGACGCCCAATCGGAAGATCGAGACCTTGTCTTGAAATTTCGGATCGTCGCCGTGAGCTTCCGCACAACGTAGCAACTCGTAGCAGTCATTGGAGGAGAAGATCACATCCTCCGCCTCCAGCAACGGTATAGCGTCCGTCAGGAGAATGGACCAAAAACTATCGAAAAAGAATTCACGTTACGTAAGTCGCCGATCTCAAGCGTCATAAGTATCTTTGCAAATTGCAACTCACTATTTCGGTGTCAGATTCGAGACCAGAAGGGACACCAGTAAGCTCGCCGCTTCTCGAAACTCGCCGATTCCGTACATCTGATGAAACTCGCAATATTTTCCTATAGACGTAACAATACTTTTTTTTTTTAATATGTCGCAAAACACGCTTAGAAATTCGATTGATCTGCTTACAAAAAACGTAAGCTTTCGCATCTTGTTTTCATTATGTCATTCGTCTCTGCATATACAGAGTGTCTGAAGAAGCCTTTCAGAAGAATATTTTTTTATAGAGTCCGGCCTACCACCCCTTCCTTTGCGCCCATTGGCTCACACAGATTAATCCCTCATTAACTATTGAACGAATTTTGCAATACAGCACATGACTCTTCTTCAGTTTCGTTCAGTTTAGTTTACTTTCAACCGTTCTAGCTGCCGTCATTCAGAGAAAAGTTCTCAGACACTCTACGTAAGTTATATTTTTCTACTCATTTTTGTTGTAAAAAAAAAGAAAAATTTTTTCCTCGTATACTTGATAAAGCAAAATCGTTGGTGCCGATCTACAATAGGTATTTTAAGCCTTAAAGAGATTTACCAATCACAGTTAATTATTTTCCTCACATTCGACTGTGATTGGTCAATTTTTTAAGGTTTAAAACACTATTGTAGACTCAGCCTTGGACAGTTTCGTTTGCTATTGTATCAATTGTTTACCCAGAAACGTGAGCCTGTCGCTAGCAAGCATGCAAGAGCCTAGGTTCTCCAGCAGGTCCCGACACTCCAGTTCCCCGTGTTCGGCGTAGTGTTTGAGGAACTCGTCGGCGATGTACGTGGTGAAATTGCCGTCGTGGGCCTTGAGCGCCCAAGTGAGGGCATTGCCTAGTCTACCTTGTCTTATACTCTTCATTCCCTGAATCTTGCATATACTGGTGACTAGGAGAGACGCGGTTCTGAGTGACTGCGATATCATTTCCGAGCCAGAGAAAAACGAGAGAAGTTAAATGGAAATCGACGCCTTACCGACTTGAGGCATGTTGTTATCTCGCGCGATATCGATAATCTTGTTGACCCGTGCCTCCGTGCCGGTCGGCAGTGACTGCAGCAAAATCTCCAGCCTGGCCAAGCCCTGCATGGGACAATGCACCAGGTAACTCGCGCCGCACTGCCACAGCGAGCGATGACCCATTAACGTGGTGCCGTATTCCAACACAAGAGACTCGTGAAGCTTCTCAGTCATGCTGTAAATATTCAACCGACGCAGTCCTCGTGAACAGAAGACTTTCTTCTCGTTCCCGAGTCGGGAAAAATAATGTTTCTTGCATAACTAACTCTTTAATCGTAAATTAAATCAATGCGAAATAATGGAAAAGTAGTGTATCATAAAAAAATTCTGTATATAAGAAAAACAAGCACTAGCACTGAAAGAGATGAGAACAAATTTCTGGCATCATCTCTTATCTTTCTTATTCTATACTGAGCGACTTCGATGATTGTAATATATAGATGAATTATTCTAACTTGTATAGAAAAAGTTCATAAGTTAAAATTAATATATTTTAAATCGACTAATTTAAATTAAAAGCCCATCAACTTCTTAACTTAACATTTAACTTTTTATCTTAACTTTTAACTGAGTTATTACTAAATTTTCGTTGAATTGATCAGCGTTCATACTCACTTAGCCTTCTCCTTGTTCAGAATAGTCAATTTCTCGCACTTGTACAGGAGATCCATCAGATGAGCGGCGAACCAGCCGTTATCGTTCATGTATTGTATCTCTTTGATGACCTGATGCAGATCGTTCTCCATCAAAGCGAGGATCGTGCGGTCCAAGGGCTCGTTGGCCCGCCACCTCTCGGCGACGTTGTTCGCGTAGCGCGAGAGTTCTTGCTGCTTGCAGCAGGGCGCCGAGTAGAACAATTTTGCCGCCAACAATTCATACCACGCTTCCGCGTACTTGGAATATTCCCACAATACCAACTCGTCTCCCGCTATTAACTGTGAAAGAAGCATGAGCATGTATTGTCCTTCTTGTAAGATAAAAAAAAATTGCACAATCAATATCGTCCTACCGACCTTCATAAGCATCTCCAAGTTGCTGTCTGTAACGACTTTGCCTTTTTCAACTTTGCTTTTTATAACGAAGCAATTCGTCTCCAGATTGGAGCAGAGATCCATCTGCCAGTGTTTCCACCGCATGAGAAATTCATTCACGGAGTATCCGCCGTAAACGTTGTACACCGGCATACTCCGGATGATATTGTCCGCGGTGACGAACGCCGAATAATCCGCTTTGCTGTGCATGGCCAGAAGACGGCAGACTAAATTCAACTTCCCGTGGAATGCGCAAACTATCACAACCTCCCAGTAATCCGAGTTCTCCAGATCGGCAGCGACGGACTTTTGCGACAGGATCTTCGATGCCGAGGATTCTTTCGAAGGAAAGTGAAAACTGATCCATTCTAGTAACTGTGGTAGCACAACATCACCTGTAAAGGAAACAGAATAAGCCAGATAACACAATAGTTTTATCGCATAACGTAACGTTCCTTTAAAGCAATATTTGCACATAATTATATATCTCATGAATTGTCTGTAAAGTCTCTTCTTATCAGTTAAACCAGGCTGTACTTTTTGCCTTTAAAATGAAACTCGAGGTCTGTTCTCTTTTGCCGAACTGGCTGCACCAGTTTGCACTGGTTCTCTTGTCTTTCTTCCACCAAGTTTTAACTGTATGTCTGTCTCTTCTTAAGTTTGCACTCCAAAAGTCTCTAAAAGTGTGCGCTAATTCAGTAAAAAAGAATAGACCTGAGTATACAATCTACTTGAAAAAAAAGGAAATAAAATTCCAGCGCAATGCTAATTCAGCTAAAAAGAACAGGCCTATTTATATTATCTCAACTTACCTGGTATAGCATCGACATAAAGAATTTCTGTCAAATGCCAGATACATTCTACGTGATAAAATATAGTAAGAAAATCGTCTAGAATCTTCACTTCTGACGGTGATTCCTTGGGGCGGATGTCTTCTAGATTTTCCACACAGGCTCTCAAAATAGACCTATATTGTTTACTGTGTTTCAGAAGTTCTGGCCTCCTGTCACCGGACGAAGACTTGATTTTTTGAACCGACAGAAAAACTCCGTTGCTCTCGTTAACCAATTTACGTAAGAGCGGTGAAAATAATATTACTTCTGGCCGGAGGAAGTGTACTCTTGCATCACAGGGTGCAAATTGACTCTTGGTATCTGGAACCAATTTATAGAGTAGTAAAATATAATTCTTTTACTTATATTCGAATAAAGTGTACGTAGAATTTCAAAGTATGTAGAAGTATATGTATAAGTAGGATTTGCATAAAAATTACTTGCTAACCTTGAGAACGTTCGTCCACATGTTTATACGCATGTATCCCGAATCTATTGCTGTTAATCCAAGTTGTTGTGATACCTGCCCTTTTACAAACGTCATCTGGTATAACCTGTAAAAATTCGAAGCACATAAAAAATCATTATTACGTAGTTAAGCAGAATGAAATTAAACGTTTTCTAGCTTCTTTTATGGACTCCTGCTGTCAGAAACGTTTAATAGAAACTTGAAAAATTTAAATATTAAAATATATCAACATGATATCAAAGATAAGTATTACAGATAAATTCACAAGTGACATCAATTATACAGGCAGTACTTTGACAAATAAACCGAAACTAACGAAACTTTGAAATATAATTATTTTATTTATTGTTATTGTATTTATTGTTAAAAATGTGCATTATATATTTTTGTAAATTTGGATAGTTTCTGTCATCAACAGTTTTACACATATATACTTCACTAACACTGATTTGAGCGTTGTCAACTTCGTCCATAATTGTCCAAGTCAGTCACGATATTAACTTTAGAATTCTTGTTTTTATTCTAATTATGAATATTCCTTTCTATAAAATACAATATTTATAAATATAGAGTATCACACAGTATCACACGATACCGGGAGCGGTAAAGATTACGAACAAGGTAAATACACATGTAAGAAATAAAGCGCTATTTGTAATACTTGTCTAGTAACCTAATCAGCCAATCAGAAATAGCGTTTTTTCTGGTGACATCTACGATGAGATTCTTTTGGTGAAATCTAAATTCTCTATGTTACAGCCAATAAAATGGTTACGTTCGGCAAAACGGAACGACTAGTGATTCATGATCTCATTGGTTTTATATCTTTCGATCAGTCAAGATTAAAATTTAAAAACATTACTTTCGTTTTCTTAATATGTAAAAATACTTAAAACAATTTGAAAAAGAAAAATAAATATAAACTATATATATTGTTTGATGTAAATATCAATTTGTGAAACCAAATGTTTATCAATTTAGCTATGTGGAAATATGTTGAAGATAAACTATGCAAGACTACGTTCTTTTAATAAAAAAAAAAAAACGAAGATAAAACCGAGGCTTTCTGGATAGGAACTTGGAGAAATTATTGTGATAACAAATGAATGCACAAATGATACGCGTAACATAAGCACGTTTATGAACAATAAAATATTCTGCAGAGCTGCATAACAAATCTGATAAGCATACAAAAAATTTGGTTGAATAAAGGAAAAATTAAAAAAAAAAAAATGTATTATTCAGTCTCCTCAAATCGAAGTTAATTGGAAAACATCTTTCGACCGAATACATTCACAGAGAAAAAAATAGCAATCGTCGCGGATATATTTCCGCTCGTAGAAGAATAGCTATCACGTGATGTTTTTATACGAGTTTGCATTCGTATAAAAACAGTGTGATCAGATATACATATATATCTCAAATACAATGCACATCTCTAATGGTGGAACAACCGGAAACCGGTGTGAGCCAGAACAATCTCGTGTTCGTTGCAAGCTTCGATTACTGCCTCATCGTTCGTAGAGCCGGCGGGACTTGCGATATATTTAACGCCACTCTGTAAGTAAAGAGAGAAAAAGAAAAACGTTATACCAATATATCGAAGATATTGGGGAATCTCTACTTAGGGGGGCAACACGCAAATCAAATAACTTATCGCGCAAGACAAGTGAAGCAAAAATAACACGCTGTACGCACGAGTCTGGCTCGATCGACGTTGTCTCTGAACGGGAAGAAGGCGTCGCTGCTGAGAGCAACGTTGTCCAACTTCTTCAGCCACTCGAGTTTCTCGCTCTCCGTCAGTTTCGCGGGAACTTCCTCGTACATAGCGGCCCACATGGACTCGTCCATGTCCTTTCCCACAGACCCGTTTACGTAATTGTCGATAGCGTTGGAGATCTCCGCTCTCTTCACGCCTTTTTTAAATTTCATCCCCGTCACCTTCGGATGCTGGCGGAGCCACCTGGGATGCGCACATAATGAAAATAATCAAGAACATCTTCTCAATTAATATCCTTTAAAATGTAATATCTAGTTTTTTTTTTAATTTCCCAGAAAATTTACAATCTGTGTTTCATTCAGACAATAATTAAATGTTATGGGTGATATTAAATATAATATTGAACAATATTAGCACAATATTCGACATGCGAGGTAGTATCCACCGATTGCTACTCTCATAAACGTGGTCTACAATGAGCAGTGGGAGTATATGTACAAGAAGTATGAGTAAGAAATTAAGCAATCATAGACGCTTATTCTTCTCACATTCGAATATGATTAGTCAATCTTATTCTTGTAGACTATGCTATACTAGGCACTTTACATTCGCAAAAGTGTGCAGATACTTCGTTATTTATGACCTGGGAAAGACGTAAAACTAAAAAAAGAAAAAATTACGAACCAGTTGTCCGCCTTATCGCCGGCAAGTCTTGTACAGTGGATTCTCGACTGCTGCCCGGCGCCAGTTCCGATCACCTGTCCATTCTTAGCGTAACAGACAGAATTGCTCTGCGTATATTTCACGGTGATAGTGGCCACGATCAGATCGCGAACGGCGTCTTCCGACAAAGTGTTCGCCTTCTTCGTCACGACGTTGTCGAACGTTCGCTTATCGATGGCAGCATCGTTGCGCTTTTGCTCCATCACCATACCGTATAGAATCTTGCGCTCCATCGGAGACGGTACGTAGGAAGGATCGATTTGTAGCACGCAATAAGAGCCGTTCTTCTTCTTTTTCAGTGTCTCAAGGGCCTCTGCTGAGTAGCCAGGCGCGATAATGCCGTCCGAAACCTCTCTAAAGAAAAGAAAAGAAAAAATTTATCATATATATTTTATACATGTAATATAGTAAAATACAAATATAAAATATAAATAAATATAAATATAAAATTATATATATATATATATATAATTTTTTAGGTATGTATGCATGTGTGTACGCGTACTACGGTATTAAATTAAAAGAACCTTGTCCATTTTGATTTGGGTTTTGCGTCCCTTGCGACTAGCAAATGAGACTAGCTGAGATGTAAGATTATGAGATGTAAGATGTAAAATTATTGTTAGATGTTAGAGGATGAAAATGTTCCATGGGGGCAATAATCCTCTAAGACGCCTAAAATGATTAAGGTTCTCCAATCTATTCGTTTCGAAGCCAGTACAATCAACGTCAGCGCACGGAACAATTGCGAGATTTCGCAGTGTTAACCGCGAACGTCACGTACCGCGATATGATCTTGGCCGTTACAGCGTCGCACGGCTCGGACAGGGCGACGAAGTCGCCGAAGCTGGACATCCGGTCGGCGCCGCGTGCGCGAGCGTAGGCAGTCGCCAGTGGCGTGAGCTGCTCGAGGAGGTCGTCCACTTGGCACAATTTCGCCTGCGTACGGTCCAAGGGGATGCCGACCGCGGCGCCGGCCGGACTGACGTGCTTGAACGAGGTCGCCGCTGGCAGATTCAACGAGGACTTCAGCTCCCTCACGAGCTGGTAGCCGTTCAACGCGTCGCACAGATTGATGAAGCCGGGCGATCCGTTCAGCACGGTCAACGGCAGCTTCTCTAGAGTAGTGAATATCTGCGCCGGCTTCTGGTGCGGGTTCATGCCGTAGCGAAGGGTGAGCTGGGAGGTGCCGGCGCTGTACTGCTTGCGGAAGTAGTCCGAGATAGCGTCGTCGTACTCGGCGGTGTGGGTGAACGCCTTCAGGGCCAAAGTCTGCCTGCGAAGTCGCGAAGACATGTTAGACAATACTCGCGAGTGTTGTCCCGCGTCAGATTTACCTGGTTTCGAGGGAGGTGTTCCTGTCCTCGGTACAGTCCATCTCGTCGATCACCTTGTCGTAGTCGTTGGGGTCGCAGATGACCGTGACTCTCGCGTGATTCTTGGCGGCGGCGCGCAGCAGAGTCACGCCGCCGATATCGATGTTTTCAATCGCGTCCTCGACCGCCACGTTAGGCTGCGAGACGGTGCGCACGAAGGGATACAAATTGCACACCACCACCTGGATCAGATCGTAATTCTGCCGGTGAAGATCCTGCATGTCGGAGATGATCGAGCGAGCGAGGATACCTGCGACGATACGTCCCCGCGAAGGATGAGAATATAATGTAAAGATGAGGCGGAGATATAACATCGTAAGAAGAACGATTAGTTCTATATCGGTTTTACCGGCGTGAACGGCAGGATGAAGGGTCTTCACACGTCCACCAAGCATCTCAGGTGCCCCTGTAATTTCCGAAACATCTCGCACAGGTAGATCAGCATTTCTCAATGCCTGCGCGGTACCTCCAGAGGCGACCAGTGTTAATCCGAATTCGTGTAACTTCTTAGCCAACGGCAACAGATTGGTTTTGTCCGACACGCTCAGGAGTGCTGAAAAAATGGCGAAATTGTAGAAGTATTATATGCTGCATAAGCATTTATATGTTACATATTATATGTGTTGTATAAACATTGTATTATATGTAAACTTTGTTTATATCTTTAATGCTTGTCTACAGTATATTACATATAATATACATAGATCTAATATTACATATATATACACATATAGATATATTATATATTATAATATATATATATATATATATACAGATATTACATGTATATTCTCGCCGGTAATTTATCAAGATTCACATTATCACCGAGATCGCACGTAACAAATGAGCACAAGTGATCGCCGGCGACCACCTGTTGCACGATTTGAAATACAGTTTCATGAATAATTCACGCATCTCACGGGGAGATCCTCGATAGCGGGATGAAACTCGGATCTGATTAACTAGTAAACGAGATACGAATCGAAAGTTAATATTTTATCAACCAGCCGAGGAGACGGTGAGATGAAGGTCGGAAGAAATGGCTGAACATTGGCAGCATCACACGAGCAATTGAAGGTTAAACCGTCTCTCTTATTGTCGGTCGGCTTTATCGGCTCTATCGGCTCCCACGATGTAACTCACCTAATTTCTTCGTCGACATTTTCGGTCGTTAGTTTTTAATCGAGAGCAACTAATTTGTCTCAAGTCTTCGGAGGAACCGAGCAGCAACCGAGCCTGACGGATAAGCCTGCCTGATCGAGCAGCAAAGAGGATATTTGAAACGGAAGCGTGTTCTATTATACCGAACGATGCGCCAACACACATCCAGCGGGGCACACATACGCGATAAGGGTCATGACGTCGAAAACATCTTGCAACAACCACCGCGACTGTTGGTCAAATGTTATCTTCCAGAAGATACGAACGTAACATATTTGGAGTGACTGCTGCTGCAAATCGCCACCGCCGATTGTCCCCTTGAACGATCTCGTCGATGCATTATTCCTGTGCGGGCAAAAAACAGACACGCGTGAGCGCGCGACGTAAACACGATGCAGGACTGGAATGGAAGAATACGAATGTGTGTAATAACGGACACACGGTAGAATCTGTCTCGTATTACGATTATTCCGTTCCACCGCGATGGGCGATAATTGAATATCGTACGATTGCAATTCTCACGAGGCAGGACGTCAATTACCGATCATTTCAAATATTTCGCGCGAGAAACAAGCGCCATCGCGCGTTTTTACCGATCAATATTAACGAATAGAAGTAAAAATCGCACGACCGCGCGGTAACTGCCCGCTACACGTCCGGGAAAAAATTATTATATACGAATTTTTATCTCTATACATACCTATAATTATGTACAATTATATATGCCTCAGATCTAAAAAAAATGCTGTTATACGAATATAATTCAAGTGAATGCTTATGTTTATGGATGCTCATAGTATAAACATTTAATTGAGTCGAACTATTGTTTCCGCTTTTAATTAATATTCATAATGATCTTTTTATTTTATATAGACATATATAATTATATAATTATATATGTAGCTATACAGAGACAAGATTCATAAATAAATCACATGCGTAATTGTATATATTTATATACATATTTTACGTGATCACATATAAATATTTTTTCCCGGACGGAGTTTAGTGGTTTTGAGATGCTCTGTATATGCATTTAAAGCCTCTTATCTCTTTTAAATAGATTATATTGATTGATCTAGATAGATTAAGAGATAAGAGCTTCTTACACGCATACGTACTTTCTTCTCTCTTTCTTTCTCTCTCTCTCTCTCTCTCTCTCTCTCTGTCTGTCTTTCTCTCTCCTTGCTTCAATATGCCTAATAACTCAAATAAAAACCGATCGTACAGTCTGGATAGAACGTGAGCTTGGCTTGGCGACTCGCTGCTTCCTCTGGTAGATCGTAGTCTTGTTTTCGTCAGAGCGGACGAAGGAAAAAAGTCTCACTTGTTTAACCGAGATTAACTCTCTTCAAATCGCGATGCGCCGCTGCAGCCAGCCAGTGACGCATTTTTGTCACGTTTCACGTGAAATTTGCAGCGAACGCAATTTTCGCCGTCGTAGATAACGTTCCGATCGGGAGAAAACAGATTCGAATTCTCCAAACCTCCCCCCACCCCTTAAAGTAAGCGAGGAACGAATCTCGATCAATTCGAATAAATGTAACAATCGTTACATTTCATACATACGAAGCAATCCTGCTCGAACGATTTTAATCGAAACGAGATATTCAGTTGAAAAGTGGCTTCCCGGGAACCGACGGATCATGTCTCGTAATCTTTGTTTGAGAACGTCTCTTTTGGGGCGTGATAACATTTTTTTTGTCCCACGATGCCGACAGATAAGACGACTCGCCTACAGCCGAGCGTCCGTTTCGGCGGTCGGCTAGAATTTCGCGCTTCCCAGGCTTGCGATCGAAACGCGCGCGTAATCGGGATTTCGGGAAACTAAGAAGGAGGTGTAAGGTGTAACTTGGGCCGAAAGACATCACGGCAGACAGAGGCAGATCTGTCGAGAGGATAACAAGAAGAGGGAGTAAGTCACATTGCACGTTGTATACAGTGTATACATTATGACTACTTCGGATTATGTACATACGTACTGATACGCATTTGGAGTCCACGCTGGACGTCTAAGCCGGCGGTTTAGTATGTGCGAAGCCCGTGAAGTGAAGTGCCGTACGCGTTTCACCGTGACAACATGGCGGACCCGACGTTACAAACGTTCTGCTGCCACCACACCAACAAATCGGATATGGCGTTGATAATAATGCAGGAATTCAATAGGGATGCGTACAACATAGTGTGCATCGTCTCGTCGGTAATCGGTATGCTGGGAGCGATTTATCAGGTAGTGCTTCTTTCTTTTCTTCTTGTTTTCCTCTTAGAGAAACTCAAAAGGGCTCACCTTTCGCCGGGTTCTCTTTCTCTTGTAACATAACATAAACGTGGATGCAAGCGCATCGTCCTCCCTCAGAACATCGAAGATCAACAGGTGTCATCACATTTTGCGGTTAGGATTTTCTGTAAAAAAAAAATGCGACAGTCGAGCTGTAACTCAAGTCAGGTTCATTTTCTGTGTTCCTCCGCTTCCTTCCTTTTTCTTTCTCCCGCCAATACTCGCGTGTTTACACCTAGTTTGTCTCAAGTGCAGAAGGTGTATAAGAGAACGAATGTAAAATATAAATAATAAGAAAACGGAGGTAATGCGCGAGACGTGATGAGAAACAAGGGAATGTTGCTTGCAATCGTTATTCCCGTTATATCGTGTGGTGTTACGTGAATTCTCCCGGTGAGATGTGTCTTCTTTCGCCTGTGATTCACCTGTGACGAATGTTTATAAATCGTGTGAAAAATAAGATACTTTACAGATACTACCTCGAGAAGATTCGAGTCTTCCTTACCGTTGGAACAACTTCTCTTTATCCAGAGGACGAAATATTATTGTGTGGCTCGCTGTTGCTGACCTCTTAGCGTCTCTAGGTCTAGTTTATTATCGCAGCTTTACTATTAATGAATGAATTAAAATAAATTAATTAAAATAATTATATATAAATTACATATCAATTATAAATTAAAATAATATCCTGGGAAAAAAAGATCATATATGAAATTTGCCCATATATGGCTATATATAATCACATATAATCATTTATAATCGTTTATAATCATTTATAATCATTTATAATCATTTATAATCATTTATAATCATGTTTTCCTGGTAAAATAATAGAGAAGCATATTAAGCTGACAAAATTCGCTCAATTATTTGATTAAAATCTGCTTGATAACCACTAGTGCAGAGAATGTTGTAGCACATAAACTTTGATAAATTTGTCCAGTTATACTTTTGATCAACGAATGTAATTATGCAACAGTATAATTAACTTAGGACTAACGTAGGACAAAATAACTCTGTTTTATCTGATTGTTGTTCTATATTTGGCCAGGTGTGTGCGTGAGATCAGCATTATGGATGCGTTTCAAGTCTATCATGCCGATGGAGGATGATACTTCTAGCGTGGTCTTTTGCGCCTTGTCATCGGTAATATCGACACTCAACCAGCCTGATGGCTACACAGATGCTACAAAATTTGCGAGAGGATTGAGGAACAATCGTTATTTACCGTTCGCAGGCGTGGATCCAATATTTCTACATGGCCACGTGGATATGGACGTTGTGTTACGCCGTGGACATGAAGTTGCTATTGGGCAACAAAAGCGGATGTCCTGCTTACTATCACGTTGTAGCCTGGACACTGCCGGCCATCCTCACCATCTTTGGACTGATCATGTTGTACATACCAGATGCAAAGTCAGGTTTCACAGTTGATGCCGTTGCCGTCGTGCCTGCGCAATTACACTTAGAACACAATAATGATACTGATTACGAAATCGATCGTTACAGTTGTCACAACTCGACAACGTTATCCACTGCCGTTCTGCGTATCCTCCCCAATTACTGCGCCACGTACGTGCTGATTGCAGTGGTCATGATCGTGAATCCTATCATGTACATCGCGTCGACTCGAGACCTCGAGACTGCGGTTATGCACAGCATGGGCCAGATGACCGGCAGGGAACGGAAGTTACTGCACACAATTAGATTGAAGTTCGCCCTCACCAATTTAGTTTACTACATTTGCTGGGTGCCCAATCTGATCAACGGCATATTATTGTGGACCTTGTGGTTCCAGCTGCCGGTCAAGGCGATCATCATTTTATGGTATATAATGGTACGTCCGGAATTCCCAATCGTGTGAGAAACGCGCGTGCGATATTTAAGATAAGGTTCTCTAAGACGAGTCTTCAACCGGCAGGCTGTGACAAATCCACTTCAAGCGTTCTTTAACGCACTTGTCTACCAGAGGTGGACCAGGAGGGAGAAGCTTCGTTTGGATTGCTGTCAAGATGTTGGGAGCACAAGTAAAAGTAAGAAAGATACGGGTATACGTTTTTCCGAATCGTCTCCGTTGCTGCACCCAAAAACCGAATATACGCGGAATACGCCGTATATCAGTATAAATGGATCATCCTCTCTCTAAAAAATAAAAAAGTTGTTACCACTTTAATGTTGATTGTTCGATCACCAATTCTGTAAATATAGTATATAATATCAAAATTATGTATCTTGTATACGATGTCATTGAGATTCATACATCGTAAAATCGAGTCTGATCATTTTACATAACATTTTCTACGATGTTTTAAAGAAATGTGCAATAACACATATGTATATCGCATTTTTCTGCGTAATAATAGCCGCACGTTTCCTATCGTGGATATTTTATGAGATTTCGCGAGATTACATTGAACATACAAGAATCTGTTGGTTTTACGAAATATTTTGTACAACGAAATTTGTATACAATAAATAAAAAGAAATATAATAAAAGAAGAAACTAAGTGTGTAATGATAATTTGTAGAGCAAAAATTGTAAGATGTAACAGTATCTTGCTTCTAATATTTGAATACGGTAAACTGACAAGGAGATGCATCATAAAATAGGAAATTTAAGAAAAAAAAAATCACAACATGCGTTTTCTTCCAAATACAAGGTTCGGTGCATCTGTGTGATATATTATTTCACTATTTATAATTACTTTTGAAAAATACGATTTGTCAGTGATTCTCATTTCTTTTTGTGATATGACCTCCTATAGTGATATATCCTATAATGATATAGTAGATAAGAAGACGTAGCAAAATATACAGGTATATAGAGCATATAATAGGGGTTTCATTATTAATAACATTTTGTACTTAAATATTATGTGTGTGTGTGTGTGTGTGTTATGTACTAATAACTACTAGTAAAATATACTTTTTTCTATATCATAATATCACGATCAACAGCGGTCACACATGCATCATTGTATATACATACTATGTTATCCTATCTTAACGTCAAATACATCGTTTTCATACAAATCGATAATGAAAAAAGTACAAAATCTTATATTTTATGAATTCGTCAATATCAACATTAGCCATCTTGTGATTAATTATTGCGCCAGAAGCGAGAAAAATAAAACTTTATCGTTTATTTATCTGTAACGACTGTCAAATGATTAAGATTATAACGGCTGGCTCGAAATAAAGCGAAAAAATCGAGAGACGAAATCAACCTGAACATAAATGTACATATGAATCTCATACGAGTATCTAAATATATTGTACGAGCATTAACAGCCTGTTTTTTTTTTTTTTTTTTTTTAATCAAACTGATTCTGGTCACTTATAAGGATAGAAAAATCGTTTGCCTATATTTATATTTCTTGTCTCCGGCGTCATAACTGACTACATGGCTGAACGGAGGAATTGCGAATTCGTTAAATTATTGTTCTCTGCGCATCGAGTATTTTGTAATAAATTAAAAGAATAGGAAGATCTTGAAGATGATGAAAAATGTCGGGAATCGTCGCTGCTTATGAGAGCTTTGTAAAAAAGTTTTTCACGCAATGAACTTAAAGGATAACAAATTAGTTATCAATTTAATATCTCACTCGCTTATTAATTCTATAAATTTACGAAAAACGAGGAATTATATATACTTTGATGTTTCCTCATGGAACAATAGCGCAACTTAAATACGTTACTTGTAATTTCTGAACCTGAATTAGCAACGGCAAATCATCGATTGAAAAATTTCACCGATTGCGCAAAATATATGCCTGGTAACAATCGTGAAATATAAAAGTATAAAACAAGGAAATACAGAGATATTTATCCGGTAATTTTGTCTGTATCTCTGTCTTAAAATACCTGTTATATATGTTACAAGAGAGATATTTAATAAAGTCGTCCACTTATATTGACAATCCGTTTGGCACTTTGGCAAAGTCTGCAACATTATTGCGCTAACGTTTCAAAGTAAAATAGAGAAAGTAACGTTTCGCTTGTACACACACTCAAAACATAGAAAATATCTTATACTTAGGGCAAACTCAAGTTTCAAGATCGTTACGATGTCAAATTTGCACCATCAAGAGGGAAGGTTCGTAGCTCCAAGTGTCATGGATGTGATCTCACGAATGATCATCTCAGCAATCCTCCACGCTAATTCTTCTTTAGCCTGTCGATAGTAATCGAAATTGAATTATAAATAGTCTCGAACAACCAACCATAAGGTACTATGAAATATATTCACCTTATCCTGTTCTATATTTACAAGTCGTTTTACAGCACGTGTTAGGCGAGATTCTGAAATTCGCGTACAAAATTTTATACAATTTTATACATACATATATATATATATTTAAGCTTAAATTTATCCTAAACAAAGTTGTGCGTGTCTTACCGTATTTCCTATGAGGGTCTGGCTCTATCTCAGTAATAAATCTACCTAAGTTATCAATATAACCAATGCTCAACCTACAAGATACACCGGATTATAAATACTGATGGATCACAAACCAGTCGCGTTACCTGCGCGTCTTACAATGTTAAGAACTGATAAGATACATCAGTATAATAAATACCTGTATTTGTTACGTTTCCACAGGGAATCTGGATCGTAGAGTTGCCTGGTGTCGATATTCATGTGATTGTTAATATTCCTCTTATTATCAGGTAACCTGTTGCCATAATTTGTTATCTGAGAAGTACTTGGCATACTAGTGCACACTGAGCTCACTTCGCTGCTGCAATCCGAACCTGAGGACACATTTCGCGAGTTTATTATGCTTCCGCACGCAAGAAAGTGTTCGCGGACCTTCACGGATACAAAAAACAAAAATATCACATCTCCGGCAGAAGTACCTTACCTTAAGAGTAGTAACACATTACTGATATCAACAATCGGCACCAACCTGTCCTCCTTATCTTGGCGTGTAGACTCGGACATGGACTGCTTTGGATGGTACTGATTAACTCCGATAAGTATTTATAATACAGCTGCGACGATAAGAAGGCTGGGAGATAATACTAGAAGCACGTAAACGCGCGACTGTGTTGACTTACGTTCCGTTTACTTTGGCGTGAGAATTCGCGCGTGGTCGAAATGTGGTGGAAATCTAGATGACACACGCATATGCGCGACATACCTTGTTGAGGAAATTATACACGATCTTGTTGGGCTTGTCGAAACAATCAGGCTGCGGTCCACCCTCGTCCTCGCGGCAAATGTTTTGTTCCACGTGAAAGCGTATCTTATCGCTAAATCCAAGGGGCATCGTTGCTTGCAGGCTGAAATACCTGAGGACAATACCAGTGATATTCATGTAGAATGTTTATTTCTCGATCGACGGAGTTTCAAATCTCGATGTCGGACGCGTGTATATGAGTGAGTGAGTGAGTGAGTGAGTGAGTGAGTGAGTGAGTGAGTGAGTGAGTGAGAGAGAGAGAGAGAGAGAGAGAGAGAGAGAGAGAGAGAGGCGTGTGAGAGCCTGGAAAAATTACTTCTCATAAATGACAACGGCGTCGGACTGCGCTTCTTCGGGATCGGCCGCGCCTTTCTTGTCCAGGAGATTCTGCTTGTAACTGATCACCGACATCCAGAAATCCAACAGCTCCCGCTTATTCTCGAGTTCCATAAACTGGAATGTAAACAGAATGAATAGAACCTCGAATTCCTAAATCTAAATTCTCGCCGTGGAATGAAAAAAAAAAATCGGAAATCTGGCCGTACCTCCATGAAATAAAAGAATGCGGTTTCATTGTATAATATATCCGCTAACTGTACATTGCCACTGGTGAGCACGTCAATTTGGTGCTTGCAGTGAAATTCGCTTCGTAAAAAATCGTTAATATACCTACAAAATATTTTATAGACATATATATATATGTTTCAACTTATTATAAAGAGAGCGGCATTGATACATAAAAACACTAAGGAACATTGAAAATAGCCCGACCAGAAGGATCTATTCAACTGGGCCAAAAATTGTTGGACACATCCCTCCTGTCCTCAGTGATACTTTTGGGCCACCCTGTATGAACCCATCTATTCTCATTTTGCCAATGAATTGGGATTACTTAGCCTTGAGAGCCTTCCGCCTCTCTATCTTACCAAGTTTCGGCCCAATCCGATCTTCTGGATAGATTACTTTCTCAATGCTTCTTAGTATCTCTTAGTACATCATCCTATACTCACTCATTCTCTAATATATCGTATACTATGCTTTGAATAGCAGATAGGCACCGTAATATAGGCTCAATGTTCTCCTGCGCAACAGCTTTCTCCATGTTTAGCCTTAATTCTTCAGATATTTGATTTGCACCCAGAGCTTCCTTAACAATATACTTCCTGTAAATCCTCAGAGCGTCCTGCTTGCCCGTTGTCATGTCGTGTCTCTTGTTTCCACAATCGTGGTTTGATTGTCGCGTCTCACTTACCACCTGACTAGTCTTTGGCATACCACTTAGAACGGATGTCGTGTTATCGCTACTCGCATCCTCATCGCATGGTACTTCGCTGCTTGTTTGAGTATCTACATCGTTAGAGAATACGTTGCAACTGAGATTCCCCTCGTTATTATTATCTAAAGAATTAGGCAAAGCATCTATTAATTCCTTTTGATTCGAGCATCTGGCCTTTTCCGCGCAGCCGGGCATACCGGACGCGCTGCACAGGCATTCCACCTCCAGCCAGAACTTGATGAGAGCTACGCGTTTCCTAGTGTCCATAAACTGTATGAAATAACCGAGGGCACTCTTGTCCGTAAGTACTTCCGGGAGGGCTTTGGACAAACGGGAACTGAAGGAGTATGCCTCCTCCTTGATGTCACAACCGATGATTTCTTCCTCTGCTTCTTCCTCGAGGCTGCACAATACGCCCGGCGACGTTTGAATGGATGCGCCGCCATTGAACGCATCTGACGCCCAGCTTCCTGAACTTGTCGATTTGGTGGGTGAGCTTTCTAACAATCCGGACTTGTCCCTTTGTCCTGTAAGACCACCAGATAAGATTCTGTTACAAGAGGAATCGGCAACCGGAGGGTGATACCGCGGGAGGAACCCTATAGATACCCATACGAGCGAGACGAATCCCCGTGGAAAAACCGTCGCGGTCCTCTTTCCATCGATACGGGAAATTCGCGGAATATTCCGACTGACTTCGCTCTCTCGAACGTAAACACGACGTAAAAATGACGGGCGAGTCGCGATCTCAAATGTCAAAGGGTCACCTGTCCCAGGAACGAGGTTAACGCGTCGAATTGAAGAGGCTCGTCCCTCTCTCTCCCTCTCTCTCTATCGCGACCTTGGTCACGCTGGTGGAATCAACGGAGACGTAATTACCAATCTTCCTAAAAAATTGGAGCATCGTTCGTGTCAGCGCGTAACATGATAAGAGTTGCCGATGCAGGAAGGGTCACAGAGATAAATATAAACGGCGGTGAGGCTACGTGTGCATAGCCCACGGAAGATGAATGGAACACATCAGTTTCGGGTTAAATGTCCGACGTTGACGCGCGGCCGATCCGAACGACAGCCTCCCCGAGCTTTTCGTTGTTCCCGACGTCGATCCGCACCCCGGTTACGCGCGTATACGACGCACGACATTTCGCGGTGGCGTCATTACACGGGTCGGCCCGATCGTGTGACAGATCACTGTTGTTTGCATCGCCGATTACGACACAATCGGTGCAGCAGGTGCAGCAGGTGTAGAAACTCGGCGGCTCGAGTCGCTCACGTTCAGGCTGCGTTCCGTTTGGCCACTTGCGCGCCGCAAGCGTCATTCTATCTTGATCGTTCGTCGCATGCCGAAGGGAGGTGGAACGACGCTCGCAGCGCGTGAACGTTCAAATGGAACGCAGCCTCGACGCTCCGTTCGATCGTAGCGACTCGATAGCGAGACTCTCGCGAGATTTCGAGAGACCCATGAGTTGTTCGCGAGAACGCATTCGCTATACTTTCTGCACTCGGAGCGACGCGCTTTCGCGAAGGCGAAGAGGCGAGAGCGAGATGGAAAGTATAGAAAGGTGTAGAGTACAAGCGGCGTGAATATGGTTTCTGTTCACGTTAAACAGCCGATCTATCGAGACTTTTGAAATTTTGAACGTTGAACGCGTACAACACGCAATATGGCGCTCGCGTCATTGCGAGAGATCGTCTGTGTGTGGCTTTATCTTGCGCGAATCGTGCCTCCGGGCGATCGAGGAGAGAGATGACTATGACTAAAAATACTTATCAAAGGTATAGTTTCACGCGCATAACGATAATTATGCTTATTTCGCTATTTTATCCTCCTCATGTTTGCACAAACCAACCTTGCAAGCGCGTAATATTATTTAATATTAAGTAGTATTTGTAGAATATTAATAGATGGTTGTATATCCATTCCTAATAATATTAAAAAAAAATAATATTATTTAATGTTATTATAATATTATTTATTTTTTAAATATTCAACTCTATATATATTATTTTTATTTATATATATTTTTTCTATATATTTTTTTTTAATATTCTAAGAACATTTTTATAATATGCCAAGAATATTATGTGAAGTGGACATATATAACACCAACAGAACATTTAGAAAATATTGCATAATAACATTTTTAGAATATAATAAGAATATTATTTTAATATTGAATAATATTCATATAATATTCAAGGAATATTACGCGCTCATAGAGCAGATGGAACAAAAGATGACGTCAAAATGACAAAAAATGATCTAAAAAGAGTTTTATGGTCATCTTTTTGTCATTTTCACGTTATTTTGATGTCATATCCTGTTCTACCTGGGAGAGCGGGGTTCACACACAAGGGAACGAAGTGATAATGATTATCAGGCGGTTTTGTTGCGCCATTGCATTGCTATAGTTCACATAAGCGTTACATCGAGGACGAAGTAGCGAGAAAAAGAGAGAGGTGTCGTGCCGTTCTCGATTTCTTTTATCGAATTCCGTATTCGTAATATACGTGGCGTAAAACAGTTACGTGGAGATCGATGACTTTGTCATGTTATCGGCAACGACGGAAAAATCCAACGTACGTTCAACCTGAATGTACTCGTTCTTCGGGAATTTCGTATCTTGAAATTCTGGGCAAATTATAAAGTCGCAAGACAGATATAAGTGAGATTAACATTCACGGTGTTTCTTATTTCGTATCTCATTTATATCATAATATTTTACATTCAACCATACGACTTGGCACGTCGGGACACCTTTGATCATTTCGGAGATATTTAATTTGGATGAATATACTGTGTGAAAAAAAAAAAATGCAAATAGCACACAATATTAGTTCGGAGGTTATTGCTCTGTCCCAGTATCAAGAAGATGAATTAATACGAGGGAAATTAGCAATCTGAAGTCATTTCGACCGTCGTTCACCGTTTTGTTAGCCGTTATATACCAATAAAACGTGAATTCGACGTGAATAAAAAATGAGCCGTGTTATACTTTTATTTCTTCGCTTAGGAGTGGCCGGTGCAAATTTATGGCCTTGCTTTTCGACGAACACAGCGAGATTGGGGGATTATTATTTACAGAAATAAAATGGACTCTGTTTTACGTTAACATGACATCTCTCCGTTTCTATTGACTCTTGACCGCGAAGGATAAGTGATGGACGTGCAAAACGCTCGAGGTTGATGTTCGCAAAATCGGCGTCGTGTATATGTTGTACCCTTCTTTAGATTGAGAAATTTTTTACTATTATATAATTTTTAATCCTTCATATATATATAACGTCAAAACTATTACAATTAATTTTTATAATTTAATAGACTATATAGCTATATTACATATTTATTTTATTACATATTTATTTTATTATTATTATATAATATTATATAATATATTATTATAATACGGAGGAGAAGATGGGATTACATATATTTCCTCATTCTTCTTAAACTTGAACATATTTCTACACAGCAGAAATGTTCAAAATACAGAATAAAAAATAATATCGCAGGGATATCCTAAATAAATCGCGTCTGTAGGATATTTCTGTGATTTTCAGCATTTTTCCTATATTTTTACACTTGGACGAATGTAATCGTTAGGTTTTCAATTGGAAATATTGATTATTAACAAAGTTATTGTACAAAATGTAAATGGGGGGCCACAATACCGTCTTCTCTCCTAATAAATATTGTTTTATTATTATTGTAATATATAGCGAGCGGATACCAATCGACCATGTTGCGATTCTTCACAGTAACTTTCGATTTGTCAATTATGATATAACTAGTCCAATTTAACAATCGAGGTTGACTGTGAGCAACACGGTCAAACGGGACGCTCCCTCTCAACCTTACGCGTTATGTGCAAGGCCGACAATCATGTAAAGGTCTTAGCAGAATAGCTGACATATCCCCAGTAAGCAAGAAATCATTAACGCAACGTTGTTACAATGATATTTTATAACATGTAACGTTTTCAAATATGTAGCTCTTAATGTTGCACGTAATGTCATTGTTAACAATATTTGACCGAAACATTAAAAACAATATTTGTACAATATAATTTTAATATTTAGGAATATTATATTACATTATCAATTAACAGTATAAGAACACTTATAAAATATTATGTCAAAATGTTTATAAAGTTTATAAACGTTTATAAAGTTCACGTGAAATCAGTGTTTCAAAAGATCGGTTGAACGTTTCTTGCTCACTGGGAAGTAACGCGCAATACTTGTGTCTGGAATCTTGAGCTGAAGAATAAAAAAAAAACGATAATTTAGGCAATGATTTTGGACATAAATATCGTCTTAAAATTACAGATTAACCACTCTGCTGAGGCCCTAATCCTCCGGAGGATGATGCAGCGTGCACGAGCGTTCGTCGAAGGTGCGTTAAATGAGCCAGTCGAGGATCGTTCCGCGAGGTGCGACCGCGGCACGAGATCGATCGTGTGCACGTGCTTCGGACGAAAATACACATGAACGGGCGATCCGATTGCGTGTACGCGATCGTACGTACGTACGTACCGTCGACGACGACGGCCCCGGCGGCTCTGTCAAGGTAGAACGCGCGCGCGCGAGGGCAACGGCCGGGCATCGTACCCGGCCGATCCGAAGGCTAAAAGGTGGTAGAGAGAGTGTCGAAGACACGAAAATGTCTGTCGTATACCGGTTTGTCCACGCGAATGCCAACGATTATGTCCGAGCCGGCGACTCCGGCGAGTACGACGGCGCCGGGATAGATCCGCTCGCGCCTCAGCACCGCCGTCCGCAGTCCGCAGAGTTTCCTCAAGACCCCGTAGTTTCTCCGTCGAGGCCTGCTTTCGCGCTCAGCACATTTTTCACGCTCGTTATCCGAAGAATTGATCGCTCAGCGACGCTGAGATGACGACATCGAGAACGACGACGACGACGACGACGATCATGCTTGCCCTCTGCAGCTGCGTTATCGCGCTACCGCTGTCCGCCGCGCCGGCCGTTTACGACCAGAAGCAGACTGGCGACCTGAACGTGCAGATTGAGCTGAAGAATGTGCACGTCGTCGCGCTGCTCGACTCCGAGATCCTCGAGGATTACACGGTAAACCCAGAGTCCTTCCGGGATCAAAGAGTAGAATCGAAATGCGCGGGAATGCGACCGGATCATTGTTTCTTACTTTGTGTCGCGCTTCTCTCTTCGTATCCCGACGACGGAGTTTGCGGGAAGGCAGAAGTAAGAGACGGTAATCTTTATGTAATGTGCACTCGAAACGCGATATTCCAAGCGGCGGCCCTCACGCGGCTTATTTATAATTCTCCGTGTTCCGAGAGCTCATTACATGCGCGCGAATGCAAATGAAGTGAGAAATAATGGTGCGTTATGGTCGGGATTACGTAATAACAATTCGTTGGGTCCGCTTGATCTCACGGATTACTTGCTTAATCCGTGTAATTGAATGTATGATGTATAAAGATATCGCTTAATTGACTCTTCGTCGCCTCGTTACTTAGGAAGAGTCTAAACTCTGTTATTGTGTCGAATTATGACGTCTGAAGCGAGGAATTTATTTTCGGGAACCAGAAAGATAACGTTCCGATATATTTCACCGATCTTTATATCAGTGTCAAACGCGGGTTTTTATATATAATTCATGTATACTTTGTTTATGTACATAGAAAGAAAAGATCTCGTATAGGAAATCTCGCGTAGAAGGCAAATGACCATTCGCATGTTAAAGCTCCGAAGTATCGTTATGACTGTCCTAGTTATTAACGTCAGAAGCGAGGAACCGCATATAAGATAAAGTTATGAGAAAAGAGAATTAAAAAAAAAGGTTCCATGTCAAATTAATTTTGCGACTATTTATTGATTTAGTTGGAGTAAAAGGAAAGTGTTCGTCCAATTTTACAAGTGTGCTGAATCACAAATGCCATTTTACGGATGTATCCTTTTATTTGCAAGTATGACGCAAAAAATCTTAGCGTTTTTTTTATCATTTTGACATCATTAAACAAGGACAGTCATGGCGACTATTCCGGAGCTTTAAGAACAACACAGGTTGAAATGAAATAATAATAAATTTCTGTTCAAGAATATAAATACGTATGATTCTTTTTTGTAACTATTTTTTATATATATGACGAAAAGTGAAAAATATTGCGGCTAACGGAGATTTAAGTACGCAAAGTACAGATTGCAAAATATAGATTAAAGGACTACAAAGGTATACAGTTAAGGCCAAATTTGACGCATAAAATATAACGAGCTTATAGTTATTCCAATTATTTCTGCTCCCAGGGACTTTTTATAGTCATTTTCTCGTTCACTTTGACATGATCGTGAACTTCTGTTCTGCCTGGAATAATTTCTCGCTCGATGCCATAATTCAACATGGCAACTACAGTGAGGAAACAGACAGATCTGTAAGATCGGTGTGTCTCTCTCCGACATTTCTTGTTGTCTCTCTTGCGTATTCCGCGAGTCTCTGATGTATTCTTGTTCTCGAAGAATATCATACACGCATAGCGATATTCACCGTCCACGTCGTGCGTTTGTCTGTCGGCAGGATTACGATTACTTCTACGACTACGCCGACTTCACCATCAAACCGAGCGAGAGGCCCACCTCGAGCTCCACCTCGGCAGGGAGCACCGAGGAGGAGAGCGACGTTGCGCAAACTGTGGAGTCCGCACTGTCCGAAAATCCGACCGCTTCTTCGGCGTCTCCTCCTGTTAACTCCACGTCAAATTCGATCGACCAAGAAACGCCGAGCGTTGATCCGTCGTTGAACGGTACCGTGAACTCTACGTCCAATACGGACACTAAGAACCAGCCGAGCGAGGAAAACGGGCCCGAATTGATCGATTCGGCGTTATCCACGACATTAGCATTTTCAACGCCGCCGGTCAGCACGCCGAAGCCGTACGTGCAAGCGCTGCGTTCCAGGAGACGCTGCAAGACCGGCTACATCCCGACCGGCAACGGACGTTGCCGGCGAACGAATCGACGGTGGCTGTCGTTGTTGCCGTGAGTACATTCGACGACGTTCAAGCCATCTCTCTCTCTCTCTCTCTCTTTCTCTCTTTCTCTCTTTAAACCATTTCCAAAGTTTTGCGACGAAATACAAGATGAAGTTGAGCGACGAACGCCGTCGTCATATCCCAGATAGCTGAAGGTATCTCAGGATCATCCGGAGTTTGTCCAGGATTCCCGGAGGAACGCCTCAGGCCGTTCTAAGCGCATCCAGGACGGTCCAAGGACCGTTTCGTGCTGCTTGAGATCACAGTTACGCGAGAAAAAAGCGCGCGATTTCATATCCCCGTCCAGCGGGAGAGCTTCGCTCGCTCCTCGCGACTTTTCCCCGACTTCTCGGCTCCCCCTCGTTCCGATATCTCGTTCGCGCTAATTCGTCAATAACAAGGGGGTCGTCAGCTCCCTCCCGCTCCCCGGAACCCGTCTCCCACGTCCTCACGTCGTTATCGCTGCGGTTACACACGGAAAACACCGCTGGGAAGCCGTGTCTCGCCGCCGTTTCGGCCCGTAACGGCGAGCCGTTGCGGGCCGCTCAATTTCAATCACACCGTCGCAACGTTCCGCAACCCAATCGAGATGGACCATCACGGATCCCCGTGGTGGTACCGGTCGCGCGGCGACCCCGCGCGACGGCCGCGACCGACCGAACCGCTACCCCGTCCGCCGCGATCGTCGCAGTTGCGGAAAGAACCTCGCTCGGCTCACGTTGCCGAAGAAGAGGAGCATCTGGGAGCTGAGTCTGAGCTGTCGACGGGAGCAGCGTCGCGTGCATCGCTCGCACACATACGACGAGAACGACGACGTGTAATACTATCATCATCGGCACGACGATGGCGATGACGATCCGCGCTTTGCTTTTTTTCGGAGCGATTCTCCTGACGCTCGGCGAGATCAGCGCCGCGCCGAGGAGGTACGATCAGCGACAGGAGGGCGACTTCAACGTGCACGCCCAGCTGGAGAATCTCCTCTTCGTCGTGGCCATCCCCAGCAGCAACGACGTCCTCAGCGAGCTCGCGCTGCAGGCGCTGGAACTGAAGCATCAGCTGGGCTCGTCCACCGGCATCGTCCCGCCTCCGAAAGATCCCGAGTCGGACGTTGGGACGTTAACCGCGTTCAGCGAGCCCGATGACGACCAGGTCCGCGCCGACGAGGTCTACATCACCAGCACGGAAGGCGCGAGGAGAAGCGAGGATCGCCCGGAGAACGCCGATGAGAAGGCGAGCGGCTCGGAGCACCAGCAGGAAGTGACGTCGACAGCGAAGTCGAGCGGCGAGGAAGGGAGACCCATCGGGAGAGAAGCCAAAAGCGCCAAGGGTTTCGACTCGGCGAAGAGCCAAGGAGACCCGGTGATTCCGGGGCACCTCGGAAACGCGAAGGAGACTCTCGGGTCCAAGACGGAGGACAGCGATCGGGCCCGGAACGTGGTCGGGAGCCCCGACGTGGAACCCGGCAGGCCGGGCGCGTCGATGAAGAAGCAGCTGTTTCGCCGGGGCCTCGGCGAGGACGTCGCGCCTCCGGCCACGACGTTCGTCGTCGGAGCGGCAGAGCAGCAGGAGATGAAGCTGTTGGGCGACGGCATCGAGAACTGCGGCCCAGGAAGACGCCGTGACCCCGCCGGCGTCTGCGGCTTCGATGCAGAGCACGCCGGCTCTCCTCCCTAGCTTTAAGCTCGCTAAGACCGATCGATCCGCGGGATCTGCGAGAGCTGGTTGCCGTCGTCGCAACGTGATCCTTCCCTCGCTGTACAAGTGTAACTTATATATGTCCTTAGGTTGGGTATGTACCGAGCGAACGGCGGATTTGCGAGCTTTCCTTGTTACAATCCGGGAAACGTGTGCGCGCCGCAGCGAGCAAAGCGAGAATTCGGATGGAGATCCCGGGTTTCGGGCTTCGATTTGCTCGCGAGGTGGTTCGTCACGGACGAAATTCCGGCGCGTTTAGACGAATATATACATACACGGATGAAGGAAATCGGTCGAATCAACGTGACGATGAACGAACCGCGTTTTGCTCGAGGTAGACGGAATTCCCGGTCCTAAGGAACGGATTTATCAGGGATAGCCATAAGTAATGTCGCTTTTCGATATTTGTGCAACATTTTATTTTACTTAACACTTGGTTCTCTTGAAATTTCACAATAAGCACACCAAGCGTCAATCAATTTAGTCAGTGTATAGGTTTTACGTAACGATAAATCATGTCCACGAACAAGGTGGCGATGTCTGTGCAATCTGAAAAAAACGACATTACTTGTGGGTACCCCTAAAAGGTTACGAGCGCTAGAAATATTGTTCTCTTCAACACGCGTTCGATTCGTCCGTCGTCGCGTTATTAATCCAACCGGTCTCCCTTCTGCGTATTCATATTACATCTTCGCTTCGTTCGTTCGTCGTTTGTTCGTTCGCTCAAGTGCACACCCGCTTCTGCGTTTCCCCATTGTCTAACGATGATGAATGTTATACCGGAAGAAAGCGTTGCGAGAGCTTTCGATTTTTTTTGTATAAATCGGCGTGTCCGAAGCAGGGCACACCGAGTATAGCCACCCAGGATGTGTTTCATCGTCGAATAAAATGCATAAAACCACAATGGCGTTCTGTTGTACATTAAACGAGTTCTCTCTCTCTCTCTCTCTCCCTCTCCTTCTCTCTCACTCACTGTTCCTCTTTCTCTTTCTTTCTCTCGATCTCGCTCGGTTCGACTCGCGCGTTGTTTCATTGCAAATTCCAAGTTCAACTGGTCATTTTTCGCGCATCCTCCCCCCCCCCTCCCGCCCTTTGAATCTCCGTGGCGAGAATTGCGCGAGATCGCCGTATCTTCGATCGCGTTTCTTCTCCTCTTCTTGTTTCTCTTGCATCCCGCACCTTGTCGCCGGCGGTACGAAAATAGCGTGAGGGTATCGTTCGTATCGGTTCGTGTTCCTGAAGAATCCTCGAAGCGTAGGCCCGGTCAGAAAGAGAGAGGGATAGAGAGACGCGGCGGGCCATATAAGGCGCACCGCACGGACGCTCCTGGGAATCCCCGGAAGCGAAGGTCGTTTCCAAAGGCGGTTTCTGACGGCCGGTGTTGACGGTGTTCCCGGTGGCGTGGCGGAAGCATGCGCGCGATAAAAAGAGAAAGAGAGAGAAAAAGAGAGGGAGAAAGAGAGAGAACGAGCGAACGAGCAAGGGCAAGGTTACGGTAATAGGCGCCGGTCGGGGACGGCAGGATCGGGGAAACGAACTCGCCGCGGCCACGATAGGACATTGCCCTTTACAGATCGCTTACTACAGATGTGTACACACGTCTGCGGACGCGCGTCCGTATACCTGCGCGCGATGCTCGCATACGGAGTGTAACAACTATCGCACACACACACACACACACACATACACACATACATAAGCGTACAAACACGCGGACATACTGTCTTCGGCGTCATCGTGTCCCTCCCTCTTGTTTCTCCTCCCTCCCATCCTCCTCCTCCTCTTCTTCTTCTTCTCTTCTTTTTCTTCTTCTTCTTTTTTTTTTTTCCATAGAACTGGTTACCGCCACGGAAGACACGTGAACGCGCCATTGATACCTCGTTGACGACGATCAGAAGTCAGCCCTGGCAGTTCCGCGTTTCGATCTTCTTCGCGAGCTTCCTCTTGTTATACCGCTGCTACTTACTACCCGCGGATTACTCGTTTCTGCCGTTTTCCAGCCGGCGATCCCGGGACTCGTTTCAGGAGCTCGCTTCGATATTGACGCATGATGATGTTGTAATCGGCGAATGTTGCAACGCACGTGCGTGCATCGTTTCTTTTTCTTTTCTTCTTCAGCTACGGAGACCAAGTGGAGGAGGCGACCTGTATCGCGAGAGCAATAGCTTTTCTTTGGCTTACTCGAGAGAGCCTATCGTGATCTGAAACAGAGAAGTCTCATTATCCGCTCGACGACCAAGTTTCAATTCGGTCGTCTTGATCGCACAGAGATATCCTTAGATAGATAAAGATTCAGCGCGATATCGGAAAAATTAAGGAGCTAAAGCACGACAACTCTCTTCAGAGTCCGTGTTTAATATGGTCGTTGCTTGAAACTCGCCTCAGATACTCAGATTTTAATTCAAAGATAGACGTTTTCCAGCCGTGCTTGCAAAAATGATTGGTGATTATTTCATCAATTCACCAGAGTGAACTCGGTGAATTCCCGTGACGATGGAACACATCACATTCCATCTTCAGTTTCGAATGAACCCTATAAGCGCGTAATACTATTTCTAGAATATATATGAGTATTATTCAATATTAAAATAATATTCTTATAATATTCTAAGAATATTATGTAATATTTTTTAATACTATAGAAATGTTATATGTCTACTTCACATAATATTCTTGGCATATTATAAAAATATTCTTAGAATATAAAAAAAAAATAATAATAATATAGGAAAAAAAAATATATATATATACACACACATATGTATAATTTTTTTTAGTATATATATTTTTACAAAAAATTCTTTCGACTTTATTTATATAATAAAACAATTGGTGTTGCAATATATTCAACATTTATTAAATAAAAAACTATAATTATATATATTATATATACATGCAGAGTTAAATATTAAAAAAAATATATAATATAAAAATAACATTAAATAATATTATTTTTTTAATATTATTAGGAATGGAAATATAACTATATATTCCAGAAATATTACTTAATATTAAATAATATTACGCGCTTATGGGGAACATATTCACTCGGCGATTTTCTCGGAGAAGCGGAGAATACATCCCGCACGAATGAAAACTCTCTCGAGCCCGACTCTTTCGGAGCGAGACTCTACTTTTCGAGCGATCGAACCTACTTTGAGAAATCTAAAGAACGCAGAGATACCCCCGGGTAAACAAATATTCAGCCCGATAGGGGAAGAACGAAAAAGTTATGAAAAAAAAAAAAAAAAACGACGAACGCCCGCCCGATGCATCCATTGCCGGAGGACTCGTTATCGGGAGAACGCCGGTGTGTATCCCTTCAGGTGTGCGACGGGAGAGAGAAGGGGGGAGGGGGCTTAACGAGCGCGGCCGCCGATAAAGGACGAAGAGCCTAATCTCCGGCCGGGGGCCAACCCCTAAAGCTCGCCCGTAAATTACCAGGATTTTACGGCGTATCTCGGAGTGACGATGCGGCGCGATACGCGCCGTTAGCGGCCCCGGCGTCGTCGTCAGGCGGCCGAGGTTCTTGAACTTTTCCGGGGATCCGTTTCCAGAACCGACCGAAGGCACACACAACCCGCTCTCAGGTTCGGATCGCCCAGGTGGGGATCGGAATCGTCTGCTGGTACGAGACATCGCCCGGTCGTCACACCTCGGGCATCCTCCGTGTCGTCCGGACACGTCCGCTTCGTCCCACGTTCACGTTCCTCAACGTCGTCGTTCTTCCGCTCGTTCGCTCGCAACCGGCCGACTAATCGTGTCTCCTCGCGCCCGTCTCTCGCCCGCAAGTGGTCGCCGGGTTCACACTCGCAAGACTCGACAAATCCGCAGAAGAGTTCGTTCGTTGGAATCGTCTATTACTTAGACGGCCGGGAATTAAATTTCGGAGCGAAGGAGACGGACAGGCACAGCTCGACGAGTCGGCGAATTAACGTCGGACGGAAGACAGCTCGAGGAGGCTCGAGGAGCCGGGCCGAGAAGCGGAGGAGAGAAGGTAACCCCGCGAGTTCCTCCACGAGGAAGGGTCGAGTGAAGGGAAGAGAGAGAGAGAGAGAGAGAGAGAGCGACTCGACACCACCGACGTGCCGAGTAGCGACTCATCAATGTTATCGATCAACATGCGCATATTCAAGACCGTGTTGCTGATCGCGTACCTCGGCGCGAGCGCCCGCTGCCTGCCGGTGGACGGCGGCGAGTCGAGCGAGCCGTCGGCGCCATCCGCGAGCGAGCCGACGACGGTCGAGCCGGCGGCGTTGCCTGGCGCGCAGTCCGACACCAACTACTACGACCAGCGGCAGAACGGCAGCGAGAACTATCGCATCCACGTGGACGGCGTGGTGCTGGTGTTCGCGCCGGTCGAGGCACTGCTGCTGGCCGGTGCGACCGCCGCCGGCGGCACCACCGCCTCCACCTTGCCGATTATTCCCCAGCACGTAGGAACCCTCCAGCTGGACGGGTTACCCCAGCCAGGCAATTTGGGCGAGAAGCCGAACGCCGAGCTCCAAAATAAAACCGAACCGGCCAGCTCGAAGACGATAACACACAGGTAAGAATGTACACACTGAGAGGGGAAAATATCTAAGAAAAAAATGTCTAAGAAGTATGTAAAAAACAATGACGTGCTTATATTAATAGCACATTTATTCAAATTATTTATTACTTATATTAACGTATTTAATTTATTGTTTATCACTTGTAATTTATTTTATCGTATATTACTTATTAATTTCTTATAACATATTTATTGGAATTATATATATTTATATTAACAACATATTTGTTTAAATCTCTCTAAATTATTTTATTAGATTAATAGTTAATAGAATAAACAGTTATTTTCTCGTGAATAGTTACTGATTTGAAAAACATATTCTTATTTGAAAAATTACTTTTTCCTCAATGCAAAAATACATCTATTGGTTTATCAAGTAAATATCGGTACCAGCCGAATGAATATTTTTTATTTTTTAGATATTTTTTTCTTTCAGTGTGTACGCTGAATTTCAAAACGATTTGGACGCTTTTTCTTCTTCTCAATGTGATCCGGAACGCGGCCGGTGATACAATGAGAGAATTTAATTTCTAGGAATTTATCGAAAGCGAGAGTTCTTTATTTGCAAAGCGTTCAAACCGTTTTGAAGGTCGCACAGTATACACGGCCTCGGTATTTCCGCGCGATCCTCTCACGTTTTTCTCGCAACAATCTTATGATGGGTAACTCTGGATCGGTGTTTTCATTGCAGACCGCCGTTACGACTGGCGCACCTATTGGCGCCCTTCCTGCGTCGTACATCCTTACATCCCGAGCATAGCGTGAGCGTGCATTGATACGACACTTCGAGTCTCTCGCTTCCAATATGCGTAATGTTTCATGTACGGGCCTTATTAAACAAACGGTACGTCTCATTATATATATATAGGTATATATATATATATATAATGAGAGATATATATATATATAATTATTTTTCTCCTTGCAAGCCCGGTGACAAGAAATGAAAATTCGGTGAGGAAAAATTGCGATAACGCCTAATTCTTAGAAATTGCAATATCTGCGGGAGTGGTGGAAACGTTCTTCTTTTGCTAGAAATTACGTTACAATTTAACACAATTTAGTGCTTAGAGCAAAAGGCTTACTACACTTATTATGGATTCGAACTTAAGATTCGGCTGATGCAACTAACAGCAATTCACTGAGCAGAAACCCTCGGCAGAAATCTTTATTTTACAATCGAATTTTCATTTGGTCCCCGACGACGACGGAAAATTCAGTTACACCAACAGAACTGTTCTTTCCCTCGTGCTTATCGATTTTGGGAGAGAGATTAAAAAAAGAAATCGTACATTTGCAGGGGTGAGATATCTGCATCTACAGGGATGGTGGACGAGTATTCGCATAATATAAACGTATATGATCGACGATCTCGACTCGGCGTGAAGCCGCGTACACACCTATATCGTGTGTTGTCCGGCGCGAAGCGAAGAAGGCACGCGTCGATTACGATAATTCTAAAATCACACACTAGCGTTTGCCGATTATTTTTCCCAACCAGTCGGAGCGAAACCGTGACCGATTGAGATTGGTGACCTTCCACTTGGAAAACGCTCTTATGAAATCTTATGATCGTCAATCGCAATCCAATCGGCAATCGTTAGTGTGATATGGTCTTAACGCTAACGGTCGTTCCAAATCTCTCTTTCTCTCTCTCGGTGGACTTTGTTTTTCCGCGATTCGAGGCGATTTTCGAGATACCGCGGGAAACCGCGGAAACGACGAATGTATTTACACGTCACGTTCGCCATAATAACACGAAGGAAGCACGCTGGACGCGAGATATTCGAGTGAGAACGCTCGATTTCGTCGTGATGTCTCTCTCTGTCTCAATGTAATGGCGCGCGCGTCGCGATACATATGTACGACCACAATATAATCCACGCCGCTTGTAAACGGCGCGGATGTATCGGTGGAATGTTTTTCCGCATCGACGAGTCGTAGGGTAGCTTTCGCATGTCCGCCTATGTAACGCCGCTTTAATTTTACGCAGAGAATTGCGTATACGACCTACACAATTATATACATTACGACGTATTTATATCGATATGAAAATTTATTTGATTAAACATTAAAATACATGTATGTTTCTTTCTTTCTCTTTTCTCTCTCTTTCTTTTTTTTTTTTGATGTATATCATCACAATGTTTTTTCCGACTTGGAAATGCTTAGAGCTATTATTATGTATACTCCGCGTCTCTACAGTCATCCTGCGCTTCGATGAAAAATCTCGTTTGAACGTTTATTATATATATATATATGTGTGTCAACTTTAATATCACTGAGCAACCTATATAGTAGAGAAGACCTTTGGAACGTATTATTATAAAACAAATACAGTTCCTGCGAGCGATAATATATATACATCTTTAAATAGTACGAAAAAGAAGGAAGTCTATACACACGAGAGAATAATCGTTCGAGTATTCTCTGTAGTTCTTCGTCTATCAAGAAGCATTTTGCAAGTACGTATGTTCACTCGTATAATATCTATCTATGATTTTTTTTATTACAAAATACTCCGCTATGTACTAGCTTCTTTTGGATTTCTTACACAACGATTACGTCAATACGGAAGTGTGTGCGTATGTCACACGATCGAACAAAGATGCGCTGAAAGATATTCGATCCCGGTTTCTCGTGACGATTTCACTTGAAACGACAGGTAACCTCGCCGTCCATCCGAATTCTCCATTAAATGCTAACGCCATTATTATCGTAAAAGTAGGATACCCTGTTTGTCGCGAGGAAAATAAGTATATTCGGTACCGACATTTCACTCGTGAGTCTGTATGAGTCAATTTCGCGAAAATGCTCACGGAGCTGCTAATTTTTCATATATACGTTAAAAATACACTGCAATCGGCATTACAAGGTCGGTGAAAAATACCAAAAAAGTCCAAAGTCGGTAAAATTAGAGAAACGTACCCTCCGACGTCTCCTTCTATGCTACGTAATTAGTTCACAGTTCAGTGTAATTTTAACTAGGATCGTTTATTTTTTTAAACAATTATCTGAATGTACACAGTAAAACAGCTACGAGCATGCGCTCGTTCAGGTTTGATCCGACTATTCTTTGATTTCGACATGCAATATTATGTACACGCATATCTCTTCGAACCGGAAATCAACGCCATGAATGCTCATTACGACTACAAATGCTATTACGTGTGAAAAAATGTACACTTGATTGAAACGTTGAAAACGAGAAACGTCGAAATATTTTGGAAAAATAGATCTCGAAGCGATAATATATATCGGATACCCCGGCAAAATTTCCACGATTGACAATGGACAATCGCTCGTTCAATGCTTACCCAGTGAGCAAAAATTATTGACGGAACATTACTTCGATGATACTCAATATCAGTCTATGGATGTTCCCTAAAATGTAGTTTTTAACGTTGTTGATCAACATCACTACGAGTGACCTCGATATTTCAATATTTCTAAAATATCCTTGCAATTTCTAGAAATATCGCAGATCCGGAAATCTTCAAGATGTGTTTCAAAATATCAGGTAAAAAATGTTCAAAAGATACATACTTAAAGTCAACATTTTAAGATACTGGCCTGATGTTCTTTGTTTACTGGGTAACGCTATATAATTCGGACTATCGAAATTGACAATTGGCCGTTCCCCAGAGTCGAGATTGTTTACAATAAACCTAAAGGAAAATAATACGCAAACTAATACGGGTGATTACGACAGTAAGCGGGCTGCTTCGTTCGCATTGAGATCTTCACAGTCTACTTCGTCGGGACTGCTATTAATAGCAAGTACGGCCTCGTCAAACTTTAATTCCTCCTTACCCGCCTACAGAGGAATCATTCCATTTGACATTATCCTTTTCTCTCTTCTCCACCAAGTCGATAATAATATTTGCTTAGGATATGGCAGTAGCGTAGAAGCGGCGCTTTTACATAAATGTATCGGCGACATCGCCGGCTATTACCTCTTTGATCAGAATCCGACAATTCTCCACGACGCTGCGCCGCCGGTCCGACGCGTTGCTCAACGCCTCCTCCGACGACTGGTGGAGGTTGTCGATTATCTTGCGCAGCTCGTCCAATTCCGTCATGCTCGCTTCTAACTTCGACTCCAAGGCGGACCTGCCGGCGTCACGATTAATCGGAGCCCGGTAACTCCGGAATTCAGCGACAGCCGTTTCAAAGCGCTCACAACGTACAAACTCACCTTTCCTCCTTCAATTCCTGTATACACGTGTCGTTATCCAGCTGTATGATTCGTAGCACCTTTAAGAGCTTCGTGACGAGATTATCCACGTCGATCACTTGATCGACGAGACCCACGGGCGGGCAGTAATCCGTCATAGGCACGGGGCCATCGTTGGTGCCGGTGTCGGACTCGCTGATGGAGTCGCAGTCATCGTCACCCTCGTCCTCGACCTGCACGAATAATATTGTATAATTGACTTATGCCTACCTTGATGAAGACTGTGTTTATATACGCTTATATATCAAATAAATATCACCTCCAATATTCTAAGAATATAGCCGAGAATATTACTCGATACTAAGTAATATTATAGCGCTTGTAAGGCTTTGATATTTTCTCTAATTTAAAATCTTTCTCTCAAATTCCAATGTTGGTATTGATATTTTTGTCCCAATACCAGTCATTACTAATATGATATCGATACTCTTGATTAGATTATTCCGTTCCAATATTAGTATCGATACTTTCATGGTAGTACAAAATCCCTAGCAGGGAATTTTGACCGATTTAACTTTTCCAATATTACCAACTCAATTCGAGACTCGAGACACTCACCTTGCGACGATGCAAGATCGCCTGGGTGAGATTCGTGAGGCTGCTGCATTCGTCGCTGACTTTCAACTTCCTCATGCTGTGCTCGTCCACCGTTTCGGGATAGCTTAACGCTCTGCGCAGGGAATCGCTGCTCGACACCATGTTGTGCGAGTATGTGTCGGGCAAGGGCACGTCCTCCAAGACGCTCTCCATCATCAGGCAGGGCTCGGTCTCGAAATCCAACAAGTCGGACGACGATTCCATGCTTAGCTCTGCGGGAAAGAGAAGCGGAGAAAGTGTGTTTGAAAGGAATACGACTGAGTGCAGTTGGTTCATTGTCACAGTTAAATCGAGATCTCGCTAGTGACGCGTCCCGTTACCTTTGTAAATCTGTTTCGACGAGTCCAGATTGGACTTCTTGTCGATGCTTCTGGCCGCGAAAGGGTGCGTCGCGGCGTTTCGAATCGCGCCGATCACCGCGGAAACGAAGGATCCGCTCTTCGGACTCGGCGTGCATTCCTTCAGACTCTGCTTAGAGCTGACGGGACTAGATTCGACGCTACTGTTACTTCTGCTGTACGCTTCATTATGATATATGACGTCCTTTGAAAAAAGAATTTCGACATGCTTGAAGACTTCAACGACGGCCTCCAGAGAAAGCGCAAGAATATATTCGTTTTTGTTTTTTAAATTATTGAATTTATCATGAGAAAAAAGAATCACATATTAGAATATTAGCCGTCCGTCCGTCCATCTCTTTATTTGCCTTTTCCACCAATTCTTGAACTTATCGTGAGAGAAAAGAATTGCATATTAGAATATTAATCGTTCTCATCCGTCCATCTTTTATTTGTCTTTCCCAAATTTTGAATTTATCGTCGATCCGTCGAACTTTTATTTGTCTTTCTCAAATCTTGAATTTATCGTGAGAGAAAAGAATTACATATTAGAATATTAACTATCTATCTATTCGTCTACTTTTATTTGCCTTCTTTAATTCTTGAATTTATTAGATGTTTTAAAGAATTACGTATTAAAATATTAATCGTCCGTCCATCAATCTCAACCATCATCGTCTCCGCGTCTTCTATTCATTTTTAACTACCCATTATACCGATATAGTTAATCATTTTCATGAGATGTGGTCACTGATTATAATATTTCAATTAATGATGTCACAAGGCACTTTGCACGCGAGTAATAATCCCACCGATCCACTTACCTCGAGATCTTTTACCGAAATGTTGTAAGAAGCGATTAACTGATCCACCAGTCCCTCCAATCTGGTGCCGAGTCCAGAGAGGGCGACAGCTGCGCCGGACATAGCAGCGCCTTGGGTGAGCAGAAGCTCTCTGCTTCTTCGTTCGACGGCGTTCAGTTTCATGCTCATCGACAGATTCTCTTGTCTACAATGAGAATAGAAAATCGTGGAAATTCGTTTGAGCTATTTCACACCACGATGTTTAAATCACGGTGCACATACCTCCTCTGCTCGCTGATTCGCACTAAATGCTTGCACTCCTCCGTTTGCCTTTCCAATTCCGCCTCTCGTTGCACCAGGGTCTCTTCCTTCTTCTTGAGCTGCGGCAACAAATAGATGAGACGGNGAAAAAAAAAAAAAAAAAAAAAATCGTACTCCTAGACAACACGACGAAATTAAAGCGAACGTACCTCCATCTCGGCGTCTTTTAGCGCGTCCGCCAAAGTGGCCTTCTCTTCTTGAAGGAAATCCTGCATTTCCGCGGACTCGGCTTCCAATTCCTGCTGCTGTTGCAGCAAGGCCTTCTGCGCGGCCAAGCTCTTGTCCAAGTCCTTGAACAAAGGAAGATCGTTATTATTGTGTACCGATAACTCTCGTCGCTCTTTTTAAACACGTCCGTGTCCTTACCCTGTTCAACATACGGCAGAGCGATTGTAAATCGGCTATCTCGATTTGCTGATTGGCGACCACTTGTCCTGAGGACTGTATGTGACACTCCAGCTCGAGGAAACTGTCGCTGCCGTCTGAAGAGAGAAACTTTAATGTCAACAATGCGCCAAACTGATACTTGAGACTATATGGTTCTACAAGTTACAAGAAAAGACAGAATGGGTCTCTATCTAATCAGATCAGGGTTTAATCGCGGCAGTTGTAACGATGTAATATTAAATTCTGTGAGAGGATAACGATTTGATGCGTATCAATGTATTAGGTATACAAATGTTCCTTAAAGTTGGCACTTTCAAATCACCATAGGACGGGAAAAAGATTTCAATTCGAACCAGAGTTACAGGGCACTAATTGCAAAGGCACCGAATTAATTTGTACACCCAACGATATTGCCTCTTGAATCAAGAAGATTTCCCCTAATTACGCCAGCAGAATAGAACAATCCTATCGATACAACAGCAATTTCCCGTATAATTCTAACGACAAGCACGTCGCTGTTTTTTTGCACATATGAAAACGCGAGACGCCGTCTCTCTCTCTTTCTCTCATACCTGCGTGTTCCGATTGCGGCGTGCCCAGCATAGCCAGGACTCGCTGGGCGTTCCTGTCGAGCTCCTGCCTTGCGAACGCATGGTCCGCCCGTTCCTCTTCCAGGAGACGATTCACCTCGGTCAACTCGAGCTTCAGCTTCTCGTTCTCCCGCTTCCGCGCGTCGCTCTCCTCGCTCGAACGTCTCAGACTCTCCCGCATGTCGTCCCACGCGTCCTCCGTCTGGCAGCCTTTGTGCAGCCTCTCGATCACCTCGGGCCCGGCCACCGCGCTCGGCTGTCCGGACATCGCGTTCTCGATGTCACGCCCGGTCAGGCCGGTCTGCGCGCTCGTCTCGTGGTAGATACGGATCCTCTCGGAGGTCTTGTGCCTGGGATACGGCGGCAGGCTCTTGTGTCCGGAGGCTAAGTCTTTGACGCCGGTCCTCTTCTCCGTGGCTCTGCTGAGACTGGCGTCGCGACTGCCGGGTCTGCTTCTCGTCAGCTTGCTGCTGTTACCGTCGGCCGGCGCCTTCTCGCCCTTCGAGACCGTGAGCTTGTTCCTGTTCCGGCGCGGTAACGTCGCGTACGTGTCCAACGCCTTGTTGTCCTGTTGCTGACCGGCGGCGATCTTCAGATCCACGCGCGAGGTCGGCTTCGCGTCGGCAGCGCGCATGCCGTAGAGAGCGCGAGCGGTCGAGAGGGACGGTATCTTCGACCTCGCGTCCTCGGACGGCGTGGAGACTGGTGTGCGCGATCCCCGCGTGCCGGACGCGCCCCTCGACCTCGAGTCGCTCCTGGCGACCGCTCTCGCGCCCACGCCGCTGCGCTGAGCGAGGTCCTTATTGATTTCCGTGGTGAGCACGGACGGCAACGAGTCCGGCAACGCTCTCGTCCTCGTCCTCGTGAAGGACGAGGCGGACGACGTCGGATTGGAACGGCAGCCGTACGCCGGCACGGCGCGGCCGCTGATCGGGGTTTTAGCGACCTCGGTGATCAGGGAGGAACTCGATTCTCTCGCGCTCGACTTCTCCCTCGAGCGCGCCCGCTCGCTCCCGCGTTCCCTGCTGCCGCCGTTGCTGACGCCGCTCTGGCTCTGCGTCTTGGTAAGGATGTTCCGCGGCGTGGCGGTCCGCGACTTCGAGCGGGGCGTCGCGGCGCCGAGGCTTGCGCCGCTCGGGCACGCGGCCGTCGTCTGTTTCGCGCGGACGGTCTTCTGCGACTCGACGCCGGCCGTCTTCTTCTTAGCCGCGCCGGAAGTCGCCGCCGCCCTCTTCACGTTCATGCGACTCGTCCGCACGGACACGCTGCCGGCGATGGAGGAGCTCTCGCTGCCGCCCTCGCTGGTGCCCTCGCCGCCGGTCCCGCCGAGCCGCACGTCGTCTGGCAGCGTGGCGCACGGGTCCTCGTACACGGAACAGCAACTGACGAGGCTCGAGTCGCAGGAGGCCTCGTCCAGCCCGCCGCAGCTGCTTCCGTAGTCGGCGCTGTTCCTGCGTACCTACGGGTTTCGCACAGACGGATACTATTTGTATTAACTATTCACGCGCGTGAAGCGCGAGTACGCTCGCTGCGCTCATACAATTTTACGTATTGTCGCGCACTCGAAGCGGTTGATAACGGAACTTCTTTAACAGTATCCTGTATTTTTGTACACCGAGAAGAAGATTTCTTCGAATTTAATCAATTACATCGCATCCGAACAAATTTCACCACTGGCACGCTCCGAGGAAACGAATGTTTCGATTAATAACTTACGACCGTAAGACTTTTTCACGAATACGTATATTTATCTTAAGTAAAAGATTTGCTTGAAACGAAAGATGATTTTCTTATAAAGAAATTATTCGTTTCGTTTTACACATATTTATTGCAACCGAATAATATTTTGTTCGGTTGAATGATGTTATTTCAATTAATAGCGTTCCTTCTGTTAAATGATAGTTTTCTTGAATGAGACAATAAAATCTTTAACCAAATAATATTTCGTATATGTTGTTTCTATGAAACAAATTCTATGTGTTGTTTCTATGAAATAAATTCTAGTCAAATAAATAGAAATGCTAAATCTCAAGGAATCTTTTTCTCTGTGTAATCCGTCCGTATTAAGGCCAGTCACATTTCTCATTGGAAATTAATAACAAGATCTAAATTTTCTCTCTCATTGCTAGAATGTTGCTGCTCTAAATTATCAATTATATGAATTACAGAAAATTTCTTAGCGGATATAAAAAAAACAGCGGTGTCGTACCTGTGACATTTAGAATTCTAGCCGGACCAGCAACAAAACAGTTCCCCGAATAAGCTCAATAATACACGGGATATGTCGTTTATATGGAGACGATGTTCATATACGAGAACGACGACCACGTATTACCTCACTTTTAATATTCGAGCAGCGTAAAGCCACATTTGTCGTTCATAATTTCTAATATTTATGTCGCTTGAAGCCACATTCCCGTCGAACACACAGCTTCTAATATTTCAGTGGCTCGCGACTGCATTTGCCTTTGTTCGCGAGGAAGCTTGTATTTTCGCCGCTCAAGCGAGAAGAAGTTAGAAATTGTGAATTAAAGTCGGAGCCGGAGCTTATTAAGCGCTGTACGGTTAACCGAGTTAACGGTTAACTAATTAATCAATCAACCGCGATTAACCGGCTAACTGCGCAGCTAAATAACCGTTACAATTTTTAATTTAGAATTAAACAACCATCTCATATCATCAAACTGACTTTTCACACAATGAAAACCCTCTATTGGATTAAACGAAGAAGAGAATGAGAAATTTTCGCATTCTTCGAATCTCTTCTTACATGCCTGATCGCGAAAATAAGAATTAGCGTAAACGTGACTTAATAATTCTCATACCTTTCAAACCAAATTTGAGAATTTCTTATTCAATAAATGTGTAAAACGAAACGAATCATTTCTTTATAAGAAAATTATCCTTCGTTTCACAAACAAATTTTTCATCTAAGATACATATTCGTTAAGAAGTCTAGCAATCATACTTATTCATGGAAACATTAATTTCTTTGAAGCGTGCCAATGATGAAATTCGTTTAGATGCGATAGAATTGATTAAATGTAAAGAAATCTTTTTCTCAGTGTACAGTGTAGAAAGATTTCCTTGTTAAATTAGACAAATGTGGTTCGGATAAAAAATCCGTCTTTGTCGCCTATATTGATTAGATACAACACACATGTGACACTGAAATGTTTACCAGACCTTTATCCATCTTAGCTAATTTCGCGTATCTAGATAATGTTTGCTATAACTGCAAAATCATTTCTTTTTTAGTGAAACTTACTCTCGGTACTTCCGTCGCGCAGCCTTCGACTCCGCTGTCGCTGCCATCCTTGCTATCTTTATTCTCGCTCAGCGACTTCTCGCTAGTCTTGCCGTTTTGTGACTCGGTGATGTGGATCACCGTGATGTTGCACTCGCTGTTCATCGTGAGGTCCGGATCCTCCTCGTTGAGGGGTCGCGTCTCATCGTTAATCGGCGAGGCGAGGTCTTCCGGTACGCCCGAGTCTTGCCGCGCCACGTTCTGCATTGGCGGGGACACCTTCAAGCAGTTCTCCTCGGGATACGTCGTCTCCATCGCGACGGTCTTCAATGAATCATTCATGTCGATATCTTATCATCTTCCCACTGGAATATTTCAAAGAAAATATTTAATGAGCGAGAAAAATAAGGGTGACCTTCGCCAAACTCAGAACTAATCTATAAATAATAATTGCCGACGTCAGTTTTCAGTTCTGCAACGTCTTGTCGTTCAACGATAATCGGAAAGTTAATAATTTCTGGCTGAAGAGGTATTTTTTGCAACACGGCAAGCGGAATCAGTGTGATGCTTTGATTTGTTCAATATTTGAGAAAGGTCAAGGAAAATTATGCGTAAGAAAACAATCGGGACTCGGGATTCATTTGGAGGAGGTATTCTCATTTCAAATGTGTCGTTTTGCAAATGATTTTTAGAAATTTTACTTGAAAAAATATAAGACGTATAATTCTGAAGTTTTGTACAAATACTTATCTATGTTTTAACATTTATATGCAGTAATTTCTACACATTATCTTCAATATTAATAAAATTATAAATAATTTTGTGCAGTGTGCTGAACGAAAGTTTTGTTTGCATGGTCGCTACGATTCCGCACATTGCAGACTTCTGAAGCCAAAACGGCCGGAAGAGTGATTAAACTATAAACTTGTGATTATATCAATTTTAACAGTTTCCATCTGCATTAGCAAGATAGAACAGATAATACTTAACCGACAGCAATTTCAATTCGTCGATTGGATCGATCAGAATTTGCTGAAAGTCACCCTAAAAGTAATAGAATCAGACACAATTATGCAACACGGAGTCAGAGATTATTCAGCGATGGGATTCAGTTCAGCATTCGCGAAATGCATTCGAGAATACGAAGTATCTCCTATTCTGAGACGGTACGCGCCAAACGTAATAATTCTATGACTAGTTTCCGGAACACAACGAGGCCCTTCGCGAGGTCGTCCAGCGCGCGACTGGGAACAGTACCCGCCCACGTGATAAACGAGAATTAAACGGGAGCAATTAACTCACCCGCCCGAGTCGATCAAGTTGTGTCGTTTCGGAATCGAGTTACGGCATCCCAATCATGTCCATATTGGATTAGTCGGATGGCGTACACGTCCCATTCGCGACGGAGGAAATCGTTTCGAATAGAGCTTGAAATGAAGCGTCTAGACACGTGCTCCGAGCCGAATTTTAAGGATAACGGCTCGGGCATAATGAAAGGAATAAGGAGCGAGAAATTACATTAGTAGGGAATTAGGAATAAGAAAATAGAAATAAGCTTAAGTTCAGGAAAAAAAAAGCAACAAAAGTAACAGAGAATAAAATATAAAAACGTTTTAAAACTCATCACTTTTATTACATATATATATTTTTTCTATAATAAATTTCCAAGGTTATCATTAAAATACTTTTATCCTTTTCTTGATAATTATCGATTTAAACTGATTTTTATTTGCATATTGATGACCATTAGACATTTTAAAGATTAACTACCAGTCAACTATGAAGCCCTATAAGTACAAGTTATAAAGAATAGAATTTCACCAACGTTCCTAACCCTAATCCTAATCCTTCTTTATTCCCGTTATCGTGGATTGAAACATGGTTGCACACGTGTCGAAATTCAATTCCTCGTCCTTCATTCTTTTTATCGTGCCAAACCTAAGTTTGCTGATAATGACGAATTCGATAAACTCTCCACATACTCGTCAATGAGTAATTTCTACGTGAATTGCATCTTTGCTTGTTTTCGCCCTAAACGGGCTGCTTATTATTTATTTAGAAAAATAAACAGCTTGATAATTTTTTTCATCATGACCGACGACGGCCGGTCCGTTATCGGTTTATCTTGCCGTTCCTTCAGCACGCTTTGGTACGCCTTCAATACACTTAAAGCACATCGAGATAAAGTTCACATGTGTGTTATGCAGATGTGAAGTCACGATTACGCCGGGGCTTGATATCTCGCGCCGAGGTAATTCCCCTCTGTCGCGTATCTCCGGCCGCACGTAGCGGCCTGATATCTCGTAGATTATTCGCACTCTCTTCCTCTCCCTCTCTCTCTCATGGCGAGCCACTACCATTGATTCATTAAATGACCCCCACCTAGGCCAGATGACGTAACGTTTCGTGAGCGAAACGCCGATTTGCGAGAAATTGACAGTGAGAGCGGCACACACGTGCCAGGAACGACGTTACTATTTAAGAACCTCGCGCGCGAGAGGCAAGCTTCGCGAGTTCAAGGCTGCGTCCCTGTCTGTGTCTCGAGCCTAAATCGTCGGGGCTTCACCGAAACGGCATGATTTACTTGCTTCGAGGAGAAGAAAATTCCGCAACTGCAGTGAAAAACGCAGCGAATGAGCGAGAAAAACATTAAAATGAAAATGTTCTTCTCGCAAAATGCTAGAAGAGACCGGAAACTTCAAATTCCTTGCTTACAGCAGAAAAATAAATTTTTATGCAAAAAATATCAACATCGTTTGCAAAAATTATGGGTGAAACGAGTGATTTGACACTTCGGAGGGTTGCGGAGGTAAAATCGCCGATTGACACCGAAAATTATTCTGATCGAATGAACATAAAATTAATAACTTTCCTTCTCCTCCTAACCTGTGTTCTATTAATAAATCAAAGTGCGTCTGATAATATAACCCGGGACTGTAAGTTCCTCGGAAGACGACGTTCACCGAGGAGCGCAGATCGCAGGCGCCGCAACACTCAGTTACGGCTCTGGCGACGAGACGCTTTGCCGTGAACGCGCGTCGTCGTCGCTCCGGAAGGTCTCGCGGGAAGTCCCTCCGAGCGATAGAAGCAAGCGCGAGCGATTGCTCGGTAAAGAACCCGCTGCCTCGAACCCACCACCACCACCAGCACGATTCGTTATTTGTACGCGGTCACCGCGTCGGCAACGCGTCGTGTCAAGCCGTTCTCCGCGACGTAAACAACTCTCTCTCTGTCTGTCGCATTCTGTTACTCCGCGAATTCTCTCTCTCTCTCTCTCTCTCTCTCGTCCAACCCCGTTGAAGGATCGCGCACCATCCCTTCGTCAGCATCGAATTGCACGGCGCCGATGAGAGACCGGAGACAACCAAGGGACAACTAAGGACGTTCCACGTTTTCAAAGGAAACCGATAAAAGAGAAGAGAAACGGAGCCGATCAAACAGCACCTGGACGTAGTGCTCGGTGCACCAGCGGGTCACCGGTGGCCGTGGCGACACGATAACGGATCGTTATCACGTTTACCGCGCCGAAGAGGCTTCGAGGCACCCTATCGTGTCGAGCAGAGCGGACGACGACGATCTCCCGATGACGATCTCCCGCGCGAACGAGCAGCTCGATCGGAAGGAGCCGAGGAGGAAGAAGAATCACGGGAAGAGCTCTGTGAGACGGTGCAAGCACCTGTCCTCCGAAGAAGACGCCGGAAGTCTCGCGGACGACGGGGTGAAGCGGTTTCACGGTGACGGCCTGGTCGTCCAGCTGGACTCGAACCACCGCATGCTGGAGATCACGGGCGACGGCTGTCGCGTGATCCTCTCGAGGAACTCGGGCAGCGTTCACATCGTCGGCGACGGCTGCCGTCTGAGTGTGAGCCACAACGTGGGCGACATCGAGTACACCGGCGACGGCGGCCGAGTGCTGCTCGGGCCGGACTCCTCCATGGAGAAGGTGAAATTCGTGGGCGACGGCGGTAAAGTGATCCTTGACGCGACGGGCCCCGAGGCGGCGGAGCCGACGCTCGATTACGGAAAGTTCCACTGCTGCCGGAGAAGGCGGCTGGAAAAGTTCCCGTTGAGGGATCAACGGAACGGAGAGACCGAGGAGGCCGCGAGTTCGCGCGGGGGAGTCGCCGGGGGCGCGTGCAGTCGCGAGAAATGCGAAGGACGAGGCGACGGCGATGACGAGAACGGCGGCTGGCGCGTAACGATGTCATCATCGAGCCGGGAATGTCTGGAGAACTCGTTGAACGACGTGAAGGAGAGGGGCCGCCAACGGGGGAAGTACGGGAAGCGTGACGACCAAACGAGGAAGTCCTCGCGCTGTCGGAGGGTCGTCACCGTCACGGAGATTCGAGGTGACGGCCGGTGTGTGCGGAAACAGCTCAGCGGCGACTCCTCGTTGATCGTCACCGCGAACGGCGACGTTCGCTCATCCTCTCCTCCGTGACGATGGACGGGCGTGCCGGGCAGAACTTTTCGGCGTGGACATCGGGATCGAGTGACGCAAACGAAACCCGGGTGACGTTCCGTGCGGGCCGGCCACATCTGTGAAAAGCAAAACGGCCAACGACGAGCGATCGTAATTGCGCAGCCCGATCACACGTGATCGATCGAAAGCAACCGGAACCAGCCAACTCTGCCAGTAGTCAGTAATAATTTCGTTGCGAGTCCGTCACGAATGCGTTACGTCATGTTTCCTACACAATTGTGATATTTTCTTATTTATTTCCTTCGTAAGTAGCTCGAACTAAATGTCGCGACTTCTTCGTGAAATCTTCATGAAATCATCATTTATATCACTACATTTATATCACTGACGAATAAATTGCGTCTGAAGAATTATTTTTCCTTGTCCTACAATGGAATTCTCCCCCCCTCCCCGCTGCCCTCGCCTCCCGAAATTTAAAGAGATTGTAAGGCTTAATGTCGTGTTTTCGGCGGCAAAAGTCACACACAAGTTACGCTTATGTAATGCTATATATTTCAAGTTAATTCAATTATTCTAAATATCTTAAATTAACTTCTTGCAAAATTTAAAATTTACTTGAAATATACAATATTACGAAACCTCTGCGTGGCTCATTATGGCCTAATTTGACTTATTTTTCGTAATTTTGCTCAGCTATTTCAATTGACTTATATTTTTAGTTCAGAATGTATTAAAAATAGAAATTAAAACATACTAATCTCAAGGAACACGTGTAAAAAAAGCGTCAACTTTAGTTGCAAATATCTCAGCTCTCGAATGATCAATCTTTTTCTAATTGCACGAATAGTTAGGCAATATTTCAATGTATGTGCAGTACAAGTTTCATCAAATTCTTATTAAACTTAGTTCATCTTTCATCCTCCTTAAGGCGCCGAAACCGACACAAGATGTTTGATTTGAATACGAAACGACGGGACTCGAACAGCTTTCTATTTCAGATTAAAATTTTCAACATCGATATTCTTACTTGCTGTAAGATAACTTTACAACACATTAGCCTTTTTTCAGGAAAATACGTTTTTGCGTTGTTTATATTTAACAGTAAGGTCATTTGACTCAAACCACAGCGAACTGATCACGAGAAGATTTAATCTTCAAACGCGATAAAACATAATGTATGCCAGGAGGAAATAATAATGAAAAATATACGTAGGAAATAATGGGGGGGGGGGG